GATTCAATCTGCCGGCGCGGCAGCAACGGACACGTGTCTTAAATCCTCCTGCCTCTATCTATCCAGAACGTAGGCTAGTCCCTGCCATGGGAATGTGGAACTTATACGGCTAACTCGGGTCTTATTTGTCGGAGATACTTTGAGGACATTGGGGTCAAGAGATTGTTCTTTTCATAGATTCACTGATTTCTGCAGTGGTAATAATAATAATATTACTAATATCGTGATAACGATACTGGAGGAAGGTTTCCCCAGGATGTGTCAGTCACGGGACTTGTTTGATGATATTTTAAGCTGGTCAGTGTATGTTTAAGAAGGAGGGGGCCCTGAACCATTTCAAATATCACTCGCCACTGATGTTAGCAGTGGTCGGTAATCGAACTCCGGTAACTGACTCGTCCCTCCTTTGGGGTTGGAGGCTTCTGGCAGAGGAATGTGGCATTTAAATTCTAGGCTCATTAAAGGAGATAAACTTTGGCTTTGAATGCCTTTCAGGTCAGAATCAAGGGTACAGGGATGGATTCGTGAAATAGTTCCATAGTAGCCACATCTTATCGATAAATTGTCAATACAAATATCAGTCCCTTGGTCTCAAATCCATTGAATCATTGCACTTGGTATAAAAGGACATGATTTGACATTTTATTTGTAATTCGATTTGTAAAACCATCCAGCAATGGCCTTGGCGTCTGACCCAATCACCATTAATGTGCTTGATCTGGAAATCAAAGCAAAGTTGAAGCCAGTTCAGGTTCGGGTATGAACATGCGTGAGCATATCAGCTGTTGCAGGCTTGAGTTGTGGTGATGCCAGACGATTGCGGTCGAAATCAGAGCACCCAGAGAAAAACCCACGTAATATCTGAGGAGAGCACTCAAACTCAGGATGACGGTCAAGCATAACGACGAAGTGGCAGCCAAAGAACGGAACGCGTCTTAGAGAGACGTCGCGTCGACTCTTAGTAAGTAAAAGTGGGTCTTGGGCAGGACGCGTCGTGGCTGGAACGGAACGATGGGCGGTGTTCGAGACTTAACGGACAGATGTCCAGTCAGGGAACGGATGGAGTTCAACCGGAGATGTGGAGCAATGAAACCGCCTCGTGCGCTGGTGCTCAGTGGATCATTGCATCACAGGATCGTGAGAGATGGCCGTGACCTTGGGGGGGGAGGGGGGGTTCAATCCAGCAGTAGATTAACCAAGGCCGATCGATGATCATGATGAAGACTCAAAACACCTTTCCAAAAACCGACTCTTCCCACCGACTGCACGGAGCTTTCATCTTTGACGAGTTACACTTATATAATAAAATAACAACCTCCCCTCCCCACCACCGAAAATATTAAACCCTGCAAGTATGCGGGCCCTGGGGCCCTACGCAAAGTGGGCGTAGAGGAGCGTGTCGAAGCGCCGGGGCGGTTAGCCGCACACACCGGCAGTGCGACCTTAGCCGCCAGCCAAACTGGAACCCGTTTTGTCGCCACCGAGCTGAGCGCGACCACGTCGCTTCCGCCGCACTCGAGAGCCACGTTTGGGTTCATGCGAGGCCCGGCCGAAGAACTGGATTCGGACCCAGGGGCCTTCTCGGTCGGCTGTTGGCAGCTCAATGCTCACCGTGGGCTCGTGGTGGGGTTCTCTCCGCGGCGAGTTGGGTCCGCCACTTTGTATGCAGATCGAACCCGGGACGTGTTTCTCATTCATCATGAGGCCTATCAAAACTAGCGCGTAGTGTGCCACTTGAAGGCAGGTGATAGACCCTTCGCTTGAGACACCCAACCAATACAAAACATTCAATCCATTTTAAATCCACCAATTAATGAAAGTCTCCCTCCATGAATGTTTTTTTTTAATTATTATACTTCACCACGTTGGTCATTACGGGTTGGTGGGGGCGAGAAAGAGAGGTCAAGACCAGATAGGAGTCGAACTAGGGTCATCGGGTTGCTAGCTCAGTACGCTAACCACTGAGCCACCACTCCACCTTGAGTTCCGTGTTCATATATTTGCATCTCTGCATTGCACAGCTCTCCTCGCTTTGAAGCATGACCCCAGCTCAACTTTAGAGCAGTAAGACATTTCTCTGTGTTTTGACTTTCGATACGAATGAAGTATGGCTCATTGTACTTCAATTCGCCAATGAGAGAATCCCACAGACTGCGCCCGGTCTCGCCAACAACGCTGGGAGGCTAAGCAGCTTTCAGCCTGGATAGTGCTCGGATTGGTGACCTCTCTGCATTAAACAGGTGCTATAGGTTTACACTGGGGAAAGCAGAGGGGCAGTGCAGAAAAATCGATTGTTGCATTGTACTATGCTCCCACAGCGATGCTCCTCCCCACCGTCACCATCAACATGCAGTGACCAGCGTGTTTGAGGTTTGAGCAACATAAACCTCTGGAATATTTCTCCTCCTGCCACCGACATTTAGCGATGGGTATATGTGTTGTCCTGTACTGTGGCTCCACAGCGATGCTCCTGAGGTACGGTCAAGTAACCCCCATCCACCAGCCCCCCCCCCCCCGAACGGGACAATGCAGGGGTGGTGGTGGGGGCTTAATTCCGCGATAACAATCAATCCTGAACAAGACATGGATGGACACCTTTAACAAAAGTCTCTGGAAATTGTTGGGGCATTGTGCCGCGACTTACTTGAAATATGTGGCATGATAAACGTCAGATGTTAATTCCCAGACACAGATGCCAATTCCAGGACACAGATGCCAATTCCGGGACACAGATGCCAATTCCCGGACTCAGATGCCAATTCCCAGACAGAGATGCCAATTCCCGGACAGAGATGCCAATTTCCGGACACAGATGCCAATTCTGGGACACAGATGCCAATTCCCAGACTCAGATGCTAATTCCCAGACACAGATGCCAATTCCCAGACACAGATGCCAATTTCCAGACAGAGATGCCAATTCCTAGACACAGATGCCAATTCCCGGACACAGATGCCAATTCCCAGACTCAGATGCTAATTCCCAGACACAGATGCCAATTCCCAGACAGAGATGCCAATTCCGGGACACAGATGCCAATTCCGGGACAGATGCCAATTCCGGGACAGATGCTAATTCCGGGACACAGATGCCAATTCCCAGACACAGATGCCAATTCCCAGACAGACATGCCAATTCCCGGACACAGATGCCAATTCCCGGACACAGATGCCAATTCCCGGACACAGATGCCAATTCCCGGACACAGATGCCAATTCCCGGACACAGATGCCAATTCCCAGTGGCAACCATCGGTGGGCTCTCACCTCTTATCAAGACGTCTGGTGAGCGTGGAAGAGTAGGCCAAAGACCCTCTCTACGAGGGCCTCTCTAGAGCTCCCTCTAGTGGAGACCCTTCCGGAAGCAGTGACGTGAGCAGAGCAATTGCGGGACTGGCATCTCCTCCTACTCCTCCGACCTCTCAGACCCTTTTACTGTACTTTGACACGTGTCCTTAAAATGCTGTGCTGGGCTAATTCAGGAGTGGGGTGCTCAGGGAACATCCATTCTTTTTTTCCGCATTATTTCCTTTGAAGGCAGCGTTACTGACGAATGCGTTGAGCTTTTGTAACGGATCCCAACTGAGATGTGTGCAAGTGTTTTGAGTCGCCAACATACGGGGGGGGGGGGGGGGCAAGTAAGGCGTCAGGTAGAAGGCAGCGTACGGGCAAGCAGGTTGCTGGTTGATCTGTGACCGGCTCGACCCTTGTGTACATGTTTGGGTGGAGGGGGTCTCACCTGGCAACTCCAGCTGTTTACCTCGTGTAAAGAATGCTCTCAGCAACGGATTGGCCACATGGCACGACATATACATACTTAGCAGGACCCACATGAAAGAGTTCTGTGGGGACTCCAGCAGGAAGCTGCACGGCTAATCTGCTGCTCTGCACGGAGGGGGAGGGACGTCGCTATCCTGGCCGACGTGGGCTCTTGTTAGCGGCACTTTTAAATGCAGCTTGAAACACCGATTGTTATTCACTGGCTTTTCCTGCGGTCTTGACTGGATGTTACCTACACTGTATATTTAATGGATATTACCATAGTTCTTAATTTTATTTATATAGCGTGTATAGTTATCTTCATTACTAGTTTTTACTTCATTTCCATTGGATGTGACCTGCAACTTATACGTATTGAATCTTGATTTGATCTTGATTTGAAGCTTTCGTGACTGCAGGAATCCATACTCTTTGGTTCTTTTGGTGAAGTCACGTAGGTATAAAATAAATTATATCACGATGTTTCGGGCGCAACACAAGCGTCCGTCATCGGGTGGGAAAGCATGGTCTGCTGCTAAGGCAGACTGTTGTAAAAAGTTTGAAATGGGTGTAGCCCAAGGGTCATAAAGAAGTGGCCGGGGCGCATGATGTTAATGTGAGAAATTAGCATGTAACTGTAAGATAGAAGGAGAGCGGCCTCCTCGACGAGGGAGTGCAACCCAACGGGTGCAATCCGAAGGACATGTGAGCATGAGAGTGCAATGTATTGTTTTACGCCCAGCGCTTTGAAATATTTCCATATGAAAAAGCGCTTTATAAAATGAAAATTATGACTGCAAAATTATGAGCAATGTTTGGAATCTCGCAATGCCTTGCGGTCTTTGTACCTTTCGATGTGGGTCGGCATGTGATGACAAAAATAAGAATAGGCTTTACCATATCTTTTGGAGTTCTCTGGTCTAATACTTGTGAGACTAGGCCATAAAGAAGGCTGTCTTTGGTGTTGGCCAATCAGTTTCAACAACAATACAAATTATCAGAGCGTGTTTGTGTGCATGTTTTGCCACAAGGACGTGTGGTCAATGCACACTTGATGCCTTGCAGTGGGTATATCTATTTGGTGTTTCAACATATTAACACCTGTTTTATTGGCAGAAGGTAAAGCCTATCTATGATTATATTTTTTTCATCATTTTGATACTGGCTAAAATGTTCCATATGTAGGTCGGCGACATTGGTGAAATCTCCCTCCGCATGCCAATTAAAGACACAAGAGTCACATTGAAAACACAACAGCAATCCAGCCTCGTTTTACCAACAGCAAAGTATACATATATCGTAGGTGACCTAGACACTTGTCGTCACAAAAAACACAGCATGGCATAGCGCCCCTACGAGCAAAAATAAACAATATTTCCCTCTCTCTGCGCGCTAAACGTGATTTTAGTATAACATCTAACAATAAGCGAACTACAGTAAACAAACCAATGATGATAGAAATAACCACCTACGACGCTACACACACATTACATAAACGGGTCAAAGCCTGTGCAAATGAATAACCACAGCGCTTACAGCTCTCCCGACGCGCTTTCGTGTTGTACCACGCACGCCGTGTGCCACGGCGTTCTGGCGCTTTCCGCTCCTCGCGCCGCGGGGGGCCTCTTCGCGCGACTCCGAAGCGGAGAAGCCGCAGGCGCGTGGAGCGGAACGTCGGACAAATCGCGCACAACCAAAGCGCGCGGCACAAACCTCCCCCCCCCCCCGAAAACGCAGTGGGGGTCAACGAAGCACGGGCGCGATAAACCCTACGCCGCGAAACAAACTACGGCGCACCACTGATGCGACTGCTTCACGTGCAAACACGGAGCACGCAGCGGCAACATTTTTAGCCACAGAGGTTTTACAAGTCCATCGGTCGCTGTCGAGCAGCTTCCCAGGCGAGCTCTGATAACGCCGCCGCTATCTTGCGAAAACCTGCACTCGGGGAACTTTGTTTTCCCCGGAGACCCTCGGATGGGGTGGAAAATAGAAAGAAAACCGTGTTGTTCCCCGTACGTGCGCTGGTCTGCCCTGCCCTTTCCTGTACTGATCTCAGAGTGGACGAATGCATTTCTGCCTTTCGATAAGACGTAACACTGAGGCGCGGCGTTTTGTGTGTTTGTGTGTGTGTCGACTCGGATTGACAAAACGTTACACGAAATTAAATTTTCCACACAAAGTCACAGTTGTCTCCCTCTTCAAATGAGCACTGGGCAGAACTCAGTTCCAATGGCAAGCCTGAACCATTCACGGAAATTCCACATTCCTATGGAGGGACTCCAGAACCACATTTTTGTGCATGGTGATCATCCATCCAAGTGCTAACTATCCAGGCTCAACAATCCTGCTCAGCTTTTGAGTTATGAGATATATGCAGAAGATGGGATGCATTAGAATGACATTTTCAGAATTCAGGCACTAAGGTTGCCATAGTTAGCTGTCCTTTTGACACAATGTCATCTGCCACAAGAATGTGGAAATTCCACGAGTGGTAGACCAATTGAGATGAGCGTCACTGCACGGCCAATCGAGCAGGGGAGACTCCTTGACTTGTCAAAGTCTGCATAGACTTTTGTATACATTCGCAAAGATTGGGTCACTTCCAAGACTATCGATGAGAGGTCTCCCTCCCATAGGCAGCTCCCGGTGAGGCGAGAGTGGCACGAGAGAGCGGTGAGCGCCGTGCGTTTCCACCCCCAGACGCTGCGCTCTGATGATGCCCGGTCGAGTGGACGGCCGCGGGAGGGTTGAACGCCGGAGGCGGCGTTCTCTAAACCTGAGCCCTTCCCTGCTGGGCTCGATAAGACACGAAGTCCGATGGGATTGTATCTGTTCAAACAAAAGTAAAAAAAAGAGGGAACATTTCAAAAGAATGAAGAGCACCGCTGTCATCTGGAGATAACTGCTGGCGTCAGCATGAATGGCAAACATTAGACGTTTAACTCGACGCGCGGCGTTGTGAACTACAATGGGAGAATATAAAATGTTTTAATTAAAATCTTTCAGAACAAGAAGGGTGTGTCTGTGTGCGTGTGCCCTTTCGGTTTTGATAATGGCTTTTGTGAAAAAGGTTTCCTGGAAGATGTGACATGAATGAAAGTGTCGGAGAGATTGTTTTCACCGCGAAATACTCATTGTCGAAAATATCGAGTGAGATGTGTCATGGCAGAGCAAATGAGTGCATGCTAAGTAATACATAAAAAAATGAATAAAATATCCAGTTTCTTGTACCATGTTCCATTCCCATGTACTCTGGTGATAAATGTGCGTCTTGCTGTTGTAATATCCCTGTGCCCTATTCTTTTCCCCTCTACGCCCGTAATAAAACAAATTATTCGGTGCTGATGCTGCCGCTGCGTTGGCAGCGGCGTGCAAGAACAAATAACAACGCAAATATCAACACATTCGTGAAAGCACTGTGGCCTTGAATAGCAGCCAGATACTCTAAATGCATGTTTCTAAGCGTGGAGGGGAAACTGGAGGACCCAGAGAAGAATCCATGCAACCACAGGGAGAACTTGAAACTCCAAATATACAGGCCTTAGGTTCGGGATCGAACCCACGACCTCCTGTATACCGGGCGAGGTAGTTTACATCTCCTAGCCATCGCAAGCTCGCTGTGCCACGCGTGGGCCCGCGCAAAAGCCTCACCGTTGCAGCGGTAGCGCAGGTTGGACCAGATGATGTTCTCCTGCGAGAAGCAGAAGACTCCGAGGCGGCCGCCCCGCATCGTCGTGTCGATGATGACCCCCGAGTCGGCCACCTGCCTCACCCCCTCAAAGAGCTTCACCCTGCGCGCGAATCGTCAGACGTGGCGCTGTCAACGCATTTTATCCACTGGTCGTTCACATTGTACACAGCCTCATTCGTGGAATTGCATCTCGTACCAACACCGATTTAATTTGACCGCAGAGAAGCGGGGAAGGCAGCCCGAACCTGGCGCTAACAATTGCCCAAGCTCTGCGTTCCTGTATTGGGATGTTTGGCCAACTCCATTAATGAGTGTTCGCACACTTGGGAAGAAAACGGAGAGTACCCAGAGAAAATCTCGTACGAATGGGAATTAATCCACGAGCAGTACTGCCATAACCGGGCAAGCTGGGAAATGGCAACCTTGACACCCACGGGGAGGAGAGGGCGGTACAGCAATTTGTAATTTCCACCACCCTCACCTCCACAGCGCTGGAATACAGAATCAGGATCTTTATTTAGATTGGAGGAATCCGATGAGCTATGAAGCTCTTTCTCACAGATGTCCAGCTTCATGCCCGGTGAAATGGGGGGGGGGGGGGGGGGGGTTGCCGTTACTCCTACTAATGCAATGGGTCGTCGTGGCCTCCACAACACGTTGGTATAGGCTGCTGCCGGGGTCACGTGGTGGGTAGCAGAGGGACATGGGGAATGAAAAATCCATTGTTGGACTGCAATCTTCTATGCTCTCCGCCTTAAGCAACCACTCCCCGTGTTCCGTACGGCTTTGGGGGGGAGACCCCGCATCCAGCAGGTGAGAGCCCCGAGACGGCGCGTCGCTTGAGCGCTCGAATAAACAAACGGAGGTCGTCGCCATCCTCGGAAAGCGGAAGCGGTCCTCGCGCACCTGATGTAGCCGACTTGCGGGCGGTGCGTGAGGTGCCAGCGGTAGGAGGTCTTGTCCTTCCAGCCGACGTTGCGTGGGTCCTTCCACAGCAGCTTCACCTGGTCGTCCGTGTCGCCCGTGTTCCACAGCGCGTTCCGCAGCCGCTCGCCGGGGCCCGAGCTCGACTTCACGGCCTGTGCGGCGAGCGAGAGAGTGAGCGTGCGGCCTTACAGCAGGCTGTGGATGCGGGTGTCCGTCAGCGAGAAGCTATGAAGGCCGGAATGGCGATACCCTTGGGGTGAGGTGGGTCAGCATCATGCTGGGGCACCTTTGATGCGAAATTTGTATTTTATTTTAGCAGGTAAGGCCCACTGAGTTATATAGCGCTTTTTCAGAAGCCACCTGGCCACAAATGATAGCTCAACAAAGTGACTTATCATCACGTGGAAAAGTATAGCAGCTAAATACTCTAAACGCACGTTTCTAAATGTGGAGGGAAAAACTGGAGGACCTGGAGAAGAATCCATGCAACCACAGGGAGAACTTGCAAACTCCAAATATACAGGCCGTAGGTTCGGGCTCGAACACAGGACCTCCTGTATATCAGGCGTGGAAGTTAACATCTCACCACCATGGCGCCTTTGTCTCCCCACTGCTGATGTTTGCACACCGCAGCAGGTACTCACATTAGGCTGAGACAACATCGGGGAGTTTACAATTGAGTTAACAGTTTCTTGTGTTTAACCAGGTGTGAACTCAAAAGGCTATGATAGCCTCATTCGAAAGAGCGACCCGTGTCATCAAAATGAGAAAGCAAATTATGCACGGCAAATCTAAATCAAAGACAACCGTGCTACAGGAGAGATAAAAAAAAAACGCTGCGAAAATATAACTCGATACTAAATAAAAAGAACACATTTCCTGCAACGAAAAATTGGCTCGGGCAAATACATTACAGCAATATAAGAACAGCTTTTACCCTTTCTGGCAATGAAACAGTTGTGTTAAGATGTTAAAACACCAAACTGAAACCTTTTTAAAGAAATCGTGTCTGCATTAACCACATATACTTGAGACAGCTTTCTTTAGAGCCGAGTCTCAAGCAGCGTTAGACCAGAGGACGCCAACAGGCAAACAGCACAAAGACAATGCCATTATCAGGACATTGAGTGCTCGGGGTGATCAGCTACAACGCAGACACAATTCCTTGCAAAAGGTTTCAGTTTGGTGATTTTTCCCATCTTAACACAACTGTTTTATTGCCGGAAAGAGTAAAACCTATTCCTATATTTTGATACTGGCAAGGGAGGTCCAATGATGTAGCTGCTCACCCCGAGCTCTCAATGCCCTGTCTTTGTGCTGTTCGAATTTTGGCGTCCTCTGGTCTAACGCCGTTTAGACTAGACTCTAAATAAAGCTGTTTCTAGTGTGGACCAAACAGTTTCAAAGACAATGCATTATATACTATCAGAGCATCTTTTTTTCTTTGCACGTTCACCACAAGTATTGTGGTTAATGCCGACATGATTCCTTGCAAAAGGTTCCAGTTTGATGCTTTAACATCTTAACACAACTGTTTCATTGCCAGAAAGGGATGAAACCTATTTCTATATTTTGATACCGGCAAGGGAGGTCCGATGATACAATGCGGCAACATCGCCAAGCGTTGAAATGTCCCGCGGGGAACCGTCATCGGCGAGGGGGGTCTCTCACCTCACCGCTCACCGCCGCTCACCTTGAGCTGCAGGCCCGGCTCGGCGACGGCGCGGAACGGCGTGGCCTGCCAGTAGGTCTGCTCCGTCTGCTTCCACATCACCACGTAGAAGCTGGCGCTGTCCTGGTAGCCGAAGATGAAGCCCGCGTAGTCGTCATCCGTGATGGTGTTCACGTGGAACGTGCCCTCGAAGTCCACGCCGTTAAATGAGATGTAACCTGGACAGCCGGGGGGGGGGGGGGGGGCGGGGGGGGGGGTTGAGGGGGGGGGGCAGTAGTTGCACCTACGATTAGCACTGTTAGCTAAATACGGCGCAAACGAAATTCAACGTACATTTGCATCTCCGATGAGCACGGTTGGCTACGTACAGCGTGAACGAAGTTCAACATGTATACAACATATATCCGATCCACAGTGGTTCTCCATTCTCAACAACGCTGAACAACATGTCAAATCACGTAATCATCATCATCATCACAGAACAGGAGTGGGTGACTTGATTTAATCATGACATATGGTCTACACATTCCTCGGGTAGTTCTCTACCCAACCGGCAGTCTGAGGACCACCGGTGGTCGCAAGACCGCGTGGATGCTGTCCGCCAAACGCTTGCAGAGAACTCTATTTTACGGTGGTCTCCGAAAATGTTTTGAGGGTTGCATGTGTGTACGTTGAACTTCTTTCGCACCGTACGTAGCCAACCGTGCTAATCGGAGGTTGACGGCAATCCGCAGGTCCAGGAAGGCTTGGGGGGGAACAACTCGACTAACCACTGGACTAGCCACCACAGCGCCACTGGGCTAACACATGTTGAATCTAAATGTGGAGGGAAGAACTGGAGGACCTTGAGAAAAATTTGACGCGACCATGGTGAGAAAAACACGCACACTCCAAATATACAGGCGTCAAGGTCGGGCTCGAACCCACGACCTCCTGAATACCAGGCGCAGTAGTTAACATCCTGCCACCATGGCACTGTTGTCTGCAGAGGGCTAGATTACAGGCCACGTGCATAGCCACCATCACCCGGGTCGCCCTTTCATCTCTCTCTCACTAATCTCACTTTCATTGCACTCATCTCTATCTGTTTTCCATAGCTCTCTCTCCCTCTCTCATCTCCATCGCTTATTTATTTATCTCTCTCTTTCATCTCACCAATCACTATCTTATTATCTTTTGGCGGGTCACTCCAGGAGTGTTCGCAGGCTAACGTCTGGCCTGTTGCGCCCGCCAGTTGAAGACGCCAAGCACCAAGCGGGCAAATGGGGACCCCCTTTGTGTTTTTGTAAAGCTGCGACCATTTATCTCAACCGTGAATATTTTACTCAAGGATCTGCCGCACCCGCCGTGGTCACAGATGTCGCTGTTGACGAGAGGCAGGGATTCACTGATCCAATTTCCAGTGTGTCGATTTTGTTTTGAGCATGTTCACAGCTGGTAAATGTAGTTGCGCACACTTTTGTGAATTACATGCGGAAGGTGCTCTCCATTAATTCATGAATTCACCTGCTCAGGCCATGCCTCTGTGATTATCAAAGCAGACTCGACTCAACCACTTGGCAAAACTCTGAAAATTAACTCAGAAGGATTAAACGAATTGTTGTACTCCAACGAGTCAATGTTGACTCGTATGTAAGTTGAACTTCTTTCGCACAGCACATAACCAACCGTGCCAATCAGAGGTGTGGGGGAAGGACAGCAAAACTAAACACAAAAAGCAATTCTAAAGAAATGAAGTTTCCAATTTATGAAAATTAGTTTTCAATATAGAAGGTTCAAGCTCTCCGACGCGTTTTCGGATTGCACCGTGTGTCTCTCGGCACCATGTCCGACGTTTCACTTCACGTGCCGGGAGCTTCTTCAGGAACTCGACTGGATATCGTGCTCAACAACAACAACAAACACCACCACGACCACCACCACGGTATGACCCGACAACACGTCAAGAGAGCAACACAGCGCAACGGTGAAGAACCCATGCGATTGTCTCCACTCCGCTGAGTTTGTGTGCGTCATGCATGCACTCGTGGGAGTGGTGGCGCAGCGGTTAGCGTGAACCCAGCGACCCGAGATCGGTTGCTGCTCAGCGCCAACACCGGCGACAGATTATCGGAAGCGGTTTTGGGCCTCCCCTAGGTCAACTCAGCCTTAAGTTAATTCCCGGTGAGGTGTGTAAACACCGCAACTGGGGAGACAAAGGCGGCCGTGCGTGGTGCCTGCCACCCACCCTCTCGTGTGCCGTGGCGCCCTTCATAGGTGCTCACTAACAACACTTGCCCCAACAGTCCGTTAAGGCTATACGGGGGATGTTTATCTCTATGGTAATGGCACACGACATCGACGGCAGGATGGGAGGACCGATGCTGTGGTTGTCACAACAGTACCTTTTGCTGTCTAGAAATGAGCTTGGTGCTCAGTACCGTTCGCTTCGTAGGTGCAGTACCTGCCCCAACAGTCTACGGAGGCTACATGGGGGATCTTTATCTTTTTTGTATTAGCTTTGACTGCGCGACGATCATAAACAACGTGGGTTCGACTCCTTGCCACGACTACACAACACCACAGTCCATTCAGCGTAAAATGATATGCCTCGTACGTCAAATCCCGGTTGGCACGGTAATTCATCATCTCTTCAAGGTCAATAAAATGAGTACGACTTTCCGGTGGAAGTCAAAAGCGATTGTCCTCATGGATAGACTCACTCCCGCCATAGGAATGTGGAAGTTTTCACCAGCCGTCTTTACGCAGAAACTCGCTTCGACTCTCGTGCCTCACTTACCAACAGCAAGACCCGGGTCGCTGTTCATGGTCTGCACGATCTCCATGCCCTGCGCAGGTGACAGAAGGACAAGTGTGAGCAGACGATTACCATTGCTAGGCATGTTCTAGCCACTGCTGGATGAAAACCCTTGCCATCCCTCATGGTACCACGATGCCACAATGCATATTCGGCGTGCACGCGCGAGTTGATATCCATCGCTCCCTCTCTGGGGTCGTCCTACTCGAGAGGCATGTTAGGGGTGCCACGGTGGTGAGATGTTAACTACCTTGCCTGGTATACAGGAGGTCGTGGGTTCGATCCCAAGCCTGACCCCTGCTGTTTATTTGGAGTTTGTGGTGTCTCCCTCCCCGTGGTCATGTGGATTTTTCTCCGGGTCCTCCGGTTTTCCCCTCCACATTTAGAATCAACGTGCGTTTAGAATGTTTGGCTGTTATACATTTCTACATGATAAGCCACTTTTATGAGCTTTCATTTGTGATGACCAGGTCGCTTTGGAAAAAGAGCTGTATAGCTCAGTGAGATAAAAAAAAAGTTTAGTTTTAGTCTGATGTTCACCACTTTGGCTGCCATTCCATCACCAGTCTCACCCATCGGCCATTGCCCCGTGTAGCGATCCGTCATGCCCTAGCCCACTTACGCTTGCAGCCAGTGTGGTCGAGTCATGGGGGTGAACAGAGTCTCTGGAGAGCTCCATCTAGCGTAGGCCCTTCCGCCGGCAGTGGCGCGAGCGAGCAATTGCAGGGCTGCACCTTTACCTTTGCACAACAAAGCCTACAGGGGTAAACGTACAGAAGCCCCAGCTCACGACGAGCGGCGAAATAGTTCCAAGGGGAAGCGTTCGTGTCTTTACTTGCGACACGGTCACGGCGGTAACCCGAGGCGAGCTGCTGCTCGCCATTGCTCTTGCGTGACACATTGTCACATGACTCATCAAACTGTGGGACATTGACACTTGCCTCCCCCCCCTATGCCGTGGAAACCTGCCACGTGCTTCGATAGCCTCCAGCGGCAAAGATGCTACTGCACTCACTCCTCTCCTGCTCACAGGAGGTCATGGATTAAATCCAGACCTTGACGGCTGTTTAGAGTTTGCGGTGACTCTCTCCCCGTGGTCACGTGGATTTTTCTCAGGGTCTTACGGTTTTTCCCTCCACATTTAGAATCATGAGTATTCAGCCGCAATAAAATTCCAAGTGATGATAAGCCACTTCGTTGGGCTATGACTTGTAAAAGCCAGGTCGCTTCTGTGTGGGGCTTTACCTAGTAAAATAAAATAAAAACATTTTAGTTTATGTTGCCAAACGATTCTGACACCGCCAATGATGAACACGTGTCTGCGTGCAGGCCCCCGCAATTGCTGACTCGCCCCACTGTTGGCACAAGGGCCTCTGCGAGCACGTATTTGACAGACCCCACCACGCCGGCCGGGACGGCTTGGCAGAGGTGCGAGTGGCCGCACTGCACCAGACGCGAGCTGCCGAGCGACGAGCTGCGGTCGTACCCCGTGCACTTTGGCGTGCACCCCGATGGAGCGGGCGACCTCTGAGCTGAGCGCTCACGAGGGGGTGCTCACCAAGCCCAGCTTTTTGCTGACCGTTTACGACCACAGGGAATTGTTGGCAGTGGCGTACAAACCGCAAATGCAACATCAACAAAAAACCTACTGCCTTCTTCAGTGACACTGTGCTATCCAATAAAGGGTAAACGTTTCAGGCGACGTTCCGAAATAAGGGCCCATGCCCCTAAATGCGAGCAAAGACACGGTAAGGGGGTAACGATGGAGGTGGTGCGTTTTTACTTCCTCCCCTTTATTCGGCCGTACGAGCCACACACGGGCTAATCTATAATGCTTGGGGGTTTCAGTGCAAAGTATCCACTACTCGGCGACACCAACATAAGGTAACGTGTGAATAATAATTCCAAATCAGCATAACCCGGCAATGGCCAATACACCGAGCATCGTGACCCATTCTGGTGGAACTCACCGTATTCTGCAAGCCACCAGAAAAACTGTGACCAACAATTACCCCCATATAGAGTACAGCTAAAGTACGAGCGTCATCTATTGGTAAAAGTTATAATGTTTTTTTAACGTACGAATTACCGTACTCATTTGGGATTTTTATGTTTATGACTGGACATCTGTGATAAATAACTTTGTGGCTTATCAGATTCCTCCAGTATGAATGAATATTCTGATTTGGACAAATTTGGCCACCCGTGTTCGATTCCCAGCCATGGCTAATTTCAGCTGCGTGCGATATCTGAACCGGTCCTGGGCCTCCTCTTGACCAATCCGCACAGAAGCATGGTCCCGTGAGCCCTTCATCCAGTCGTGGCTGACGAAGTAGCCATCGAGCTGATTTGCCATCAGCCGTCACGAGAAAAAAAACCTATCTGTTCCGATTCATCTTGAGATCCACCGAAAATAACAATAATCTCTTGATCGATGTTTTGCCCACCGCTTGCACGAGTGGGAGAATCGCACGTGGCCGCGGACGGAGCGTCGTTTTTTCGCTCCGCGCGCGAACAGAGAGTCACCCAATTTAACACGTAGGCTTTCGCGACCAATATTCATAATATAGGTTTTTGGGTCAGATCGCGTTATTTATAAATGTGTCATAACCCTCCACCACCCGACATGACCAAACAGTAAAAAATGTCACGTTTTCAAAGGACAAATTAATTGACTTCTTTAGCCCACCGGTTTTGCCCACCGGTGTGCTGAAGAGAGAATCAATCAGCTTCATCGGGCAAGAATTCTTGCTGATTGTAATTATCAGCGAAACGTTGTATTCAAATTTTAAAATGCTGTTGATTATCTCTTCAGCACACTGGTGAGCTAAAGAAATCAATTAATTTGTCCTTTGAAAACGTGACACATTTTTTACTCTTTGGCCGTGTCGGGTGGTGGAGGGTTACGACACATTTACAAATAACGCGATCTGACCCAAAAACCTTTATTATGAAGAGAGTCGCCCCACCTGGTTGAGCACCACCCAGTGCGGGTCGATCTGCGCGTCGCCCTCGGGGTCGAGCACCACCGTCTGGTAGGCGCGGAAGTCGGTCATGGTGACCTCGGCGTTCTCCGGGCACACGTCGATGCGGTCGATCACGCGGTCGTTGTCGAAGTCGCCCTCGCAGATGTCGCCCACTCCGTCGCCTGCACAGGAAGGGAGGAAGGGGGGCCCAACACGCGTTGGCCATCCCGTACCATCAGTACCCCTCTAAAAGACGAGGCCGAACCTTCAGTTCACGCAGGTGTAGTAGAGTTACCCACTCGATATTCACAAACAGGGAGAGCTAATCGTTGACAAGGGTTTCCCGCTCAAACTAACGGTCAGGGTCTCACAAGTTGTGAGAGCTGACCGTAAACAAGGTTTTCCCGCGCGACCTAACGGTCAGGGTCAGATAGGGTAAATTGGGATCGAAAAGCAGATGGGGAACGACCAATCACAGGGTTCCACAAGGTGGCCGGGGATTGGACAACCCGGCCACGAACGAGTATAAAGCCAGAACGCTCAGAGCTCTCGGGGAGTTCGACGACACGAAGACCCAAGACGGCGGAAGAAGCATAGGACCCTGGACCAAGCCCTCCAGCCCTTATAAGGGCTAGGGCTCAGAGTAACCAGTGGTCAGGGAGACATCTCCCTAGGTCCAGTCAGAGGACACTGAAGGAGCAGGGTATGAGTAGCCTGTAGGCTTGTACGTTCGGAGTGTAACGGGTGAGGGGACCGTATACCCCTCAGTGCATAGGGACTGTATTCACAAATAAAAGTGTGTGCTACTAAAAGACGTCAACGAGTTCGTCTGTACAACACTACACAGGGATCTAGAGACCAAGAGTGATGAACCGATTGCCCCTGTGGGCCACGTCTGACAAACTGCTTCATTTCATAGGGCCAAAAGCCACTCAACAATAATTATAATAACACGTCCATTTTATAAAGGGGCATTCCTGCTAATAGCATGCCATAACGCTTGTCCAGTAGTCCCTCGGTTAACATTTTTAATCCGCTCCACGAAAACTATTGTTAACCGAAATAACTGTTAATTGAATACAGGCATTAGTGATTAAAAGCATTCACAACAAAGGCAGTCGAGGTCTCAACGCTCATAAATGGGCGTCGCTGATTGGCTGAGGGAATGACTTACAAGTGCTCCGATTGGCCCAAAATTTGCGTCTGTGTGCATAACGTAAACACGTGGCCGTTAAATTTCGATTTAAAGCTTCTTTCGTGACTGCAGGGATTCATCTTCTTGGTTCTTTCGGTAAAGTGACGTAGAGTGGAAATAATAAAATAATAAAAATAAAACATAATAAAATAATTCTCACGACGTTTCGGCCACAACGAAATAACCAAGAAGACGTTGCCGTTAGTCACAATGTGAACGTTCGCCGAAGGCCACGGGGTCCTTTGGGAGGCGAAACGTTAACCGAAAAAACTGTTAGCCGATGTCACCGTTAACCGAGGGACTAGGATACATTAATTAATCCCATATACAGCCACTACCAATCAAATGAAAACCCTACTACTACAAAGCAAAATCACAAATGAATAAACAAATTAAGAAATGGCACCAAAACAAATACATGAGACACATTGTCTTCACTATTACTACTGCATGCCAGAGGTCGCAAACGTGTTTTGATTCCTTACCCGTACCCGGTCGCACCAGGGTCGCAAATGGGTACCCGTACCCGTACCAGACCGGGTACGGGTAGCCGTTCTCTACCCGTACCCGTACCCTACCCGAAATGAGTAACAAACGGCTACTCACCAGTGACTCACGGCCTACCCGTACCCGTACCCGGCCCCACCAGGGTCGTAAACGGCTACCCGTACCCGTACCCGGCCGAGTACGGGTAGCCGGGTATCGGGTAAGGTACGGGTATCAGGTACCCGGTTGCGACCTCTGCTGCATGCTCACCCAGGAAGGCCTCACTGAGGTGTCTCAAGACTTTTTTTCTGAAGGGTCCGATAGGTGTTTGTTGTTGTTCACAATTCGAAACCACGGATGCTCTGTGTCTCCCAATTCATAAATTTGTGCATTTTTTGTTGTTGTTACCATTTAAAGTTTGGCAAATTTGGGCCGTGATGCTGCCACAGAGAAGTCCGTTTCCACGTGATAGGGCCCATTCGTTTGGCTAATGCCAAATTCATTGATTGTTGGGCAAGTTTCTAAAACGTTTATTTCGCAGTGGTTTTATATTCAATTGTAGGTTTTTTAGAAATTAAATTAGACCGATAAAAAGACTTTTCTAATTTAAAATATCTCCCCCAAGACCAAACATTTTATTTGCTCATCCTGACTTATTTCCTCTCTCCCATAAATGCATTTAGTTTGCAGCAAATCTTTTAAGAAACATTATCACGGGTTCATATCAGTGAAATTATATCTTATACTTCTGACAACCGAGTGATTAGTAATATAAACTTCTAAGGGAAATATTCCTCTGTACTCCGATTCCACGGATTCCAATAAAATGCCTGTGATTATATTGGTGAACATTTAACAATCTATTTACCCGCATATGTGTAATTCTTATTATTCCGTGGATATGCCAAGACCAAAAGCCAAACTAAGGAAATATAATATGTTAAGAGCGACAGGAGAAACATCTTCAGCGAGCCTTCCCAGCTGCCTGATTATTGCGTTTTTTTTGTTACCGAACTACTAAAAGTGTCACGTTCATACTTGTTCATTGTACAAGGTAATCACTGCCATACGTTCAGCGAGTCCGTGACATTGCACGCCACTGCAGATTGTAGTGGTCGACACGAGACGCTGCCAAACGGCAGCAGTCCAATCCTGGATATTAAAAACTCTGGGTCTGGCTTGCGTAAAGATTGATTTGGCACTTTCGTGGAATTATAGAATTTTTAAAAATACATTTTCTATCACAATCTCCGAGCACAGGCCACAAATAACAGTCCGAAAAGCCATGTGTCCGGTAACAAACAGCACGATCAAAATTGTGGGGTAGGAACTGGGTGCTCTACCCGCAGATGTGACAACAGTTGACTTAAAGCTTTCGTGACTGCAGGAATTCATATTCTTTGGGTCTTTCGGTAAAGTCACGTAGATAGGTTCAAAGAAAACAGCAAACAAATAACAACGATCGTTTGTGTTGTGATCGAAACGTCATAGTTTTTTGTTATTTTTTTGTTATTTTCTTTGAACCTATCTACGTGAATTTACGGAAAGACCCAAAGAATATGTGACAACAGTGTTCAACTTGAGCTGTGTTCGTTCTTTGCATAGTAGTAGCAGTAATAATAGTTTCGAGTCAAAGAAGGCTTTGGCATGTAAAATAATAGAACGCTTTTCGACGGGGAAATTATGTAAGATCCATTCTGCAAGATTCGTTCAGTGTCTGGCACAATTCGCCGCGTGGAATGAGTGTATAGTTCGATAAAAAAAAAACAACAACGAAAAAACACAACAACCCCGCAGCCAATTGGTAGCCCCATCCGTAGTCCGATTGGCTGCGGTTTATTGGCAACGCGGTTGGCAACGCGCTAAATGCCACGAGCCTGGGGCTGCCTGCAGGAATCCGATATTTGCCACTTCCACCGAGCGCAGTGACGCCGACCGCACTCTGCGAGCGAAGGAAACCATCAAACACAAACATCGCCTTTGTCTCCCGTCTCAGCGGCGAGGCAACGTGCTGCGCTCTCGAGAGTCGGCCGGCACGCGAGAACCGGGCTGCGCGGAGTGCCGATGTCAGGCGTGGCCACCCTCAAATGATTTATCGCGTAAAGTGCGACCAAACAAGAGATCCTCAGTTTGGCTTTACAGGCTGTACGGTGCTTGACGTTGCGACGAGGCCAGCACCGTAACCACGCGCCTGCGCCTCCCCCAGAGGCGACGTTATAACCCGCAGCGCCAGGTACTCAATTAAGGTCGCGTCGACCTAGGAGCGGGTCATGGTGGAATCGTTTCCCAGCCAGTGTGCACTTCGGCCGGCGGCTGTATCCATGCACCCGCGCTGGTACCGCGGAGAGGGCACCGCTTGCGCCGCCACTTCCCACCACCGCCTCACCGTCCGAGTCGACCTGCTTGGGGTTGGCGACGAGGCGGCAGTTGTCGGGGCCGGGCGCGAGGTAGTCGGGGATGCCGTCGTTGTCGTCGTCGTCGTCGCACTCGTCGCCCATGCCGTCGTGGTCCGTGTCGAGCTGCGAGCTGTTGGGAGTCGTCGGGCAGTTGTCCCGCGTGTCCTGGGTTCCGTCGCCGTCGCTGGTGGGGGGGGGGAAGAGCGGACGGCGACCGAGCGGACGCGTTCAGGTCAAGAGGCAACGTCGAGTTGGGTGGTTTGCGCGAGCCGTGCCAAGCAGCATCTTCCCCCTCTATCTTTGCTGCCCCTTTCCTCCCTCTCTGCACTTCTATCAACCGTGGTTCAACTACCGGCCATGGTTAGGGTCAAAGTCAACGTGATTTCATGCTCACGTGAGCACCGAGGCATTGGTGCTCATGTCCTGCCTGTTTACAGCCATGCAGAGCCACTGATGTCAATTCCACATTCCTATAGCGGGGGGCGAGTCGATCCATATGACGACCACTGTTGGCTTACCCACAAATTGGTACCTATTTTATTGAGTCTGGCAGTCAACTTCCGACCAGTATTTGAACTCGCAACCTTCCGATTCGTGAGCCGCTCGCTGTCACTGAGCCACCTGGCCGCCTGTTCTCACGTGTAGTGGGTTGACGGTCTCAGACTGCTCACCACAATTCGGTTCTGCATTTAATTTGGCTAAATTCCCACTCTTGGGAATTACAAATGCGGTAAAGGTCGGTTCTGTTACGCGACAAACTCGCAGCGGAGAGAGCAACGTGGGAACGTGCGGCCCCTAGCGTGCGAACGACAAAAACGACACTTGAAAACATGTTTTTGCCGGAGAAAGTGCCGTGACAAAGTCGTTCGTTCGGGCACGTGGGGTTTACGACCGCTCCGTGAGAATTTCCTCATGGATTATTGATCACGTGACGTGACGGCCAAAGCACATTTTTTTATGCAATGCATTGGGGGAACTAAAAAAATTAAATGTTTTTCCAAATATGAAAAACAATTTTTACGAACCCAAACGGTCATAAATGGCTACGCTCTCATAATGGCATTGTGGCTTCTCTGTGGCTTCTCTGTATGGCGCTAGACAGACGAGGTAGAACGTCAGTCGCTAGGGACGCTGCCGTCATTTAATGATCAAGGAGCAAAGTCATCAAGGAGAATAAACCATCATCACGTGAACTCCGGTCATCCCCACAGCAGCGGCGTTTGGCTCGCCGTCGAACGAAGGCGGTCGCTGCATCGCGTGGCGCTCTCAGATGCACTTCTGCGGCCATCTGGAACGCTCTTCTGATGCACTTTCAAATTTAGATTGAAAATTCATTTCTTCAGAACTGATTTTTTATGTTTAGTTTGTTATCCTTCCCACCCCCTCCCCACCGACAACGCCAATTAGCACGGTTGGCTACGTACGGTGCGAAAACAGTTCAACGTACAAACACGTTGGACTTGCAAAGCTGCTTTTATCTTAGCTGCACGTCCGTGGAAACCATGGGGCAAGATCCAGAAAACCTCCCCGTCTCTGTCCACCTCGTGGTACAAGCGAGTATAAGTGGGAACACCACGGTTAGTCGATCGACAGGTCACGTGTAGTGGGGCAAAGTGTGGGTCCTCTCAAGACGTCTGAACCAGTGTGGAATACATTTTTTTCAATTCTATAAAGGGATGGCAATTGATCGATGAAATCTCATCAGATCTCGGAAACTAAGCAAGGTTAAGCCTGGAGAGTGATTGGATGGGTGACTAACATGCACAGCGGGTGCGAAATGGTGGAAAGCGCGGAAAAAATCAATTGCTGTGCTGTACTTTTACGCTCCCGCATCTATGCCGCATGTTTTCACCAAACCAGCGTGGCGAAGTATGGTAAAAAAAAACATGATCCGAACGGTACAGGAAGGCCCTCATCCAGCAGTGGTGTAGCAAGCAGTGGAAAGTGAAGAAGACCCTCTTTGTAAACCGAAGCATTCCACAATCCCTGCCCACACTCGCATGCCCTGCAGCAATACACTATGACAGCGCGCGCATGTTAGTAATTAGGAATGGAATGTGCCACTTCTTCATGGGGGGTGATCGAGTTTTGAAAACTCCTGGTCCTGGATTTCACCCCTCGGATGTGGCAAATGGTTCCCTCTCATTCATTGCCATTTTGTCAGGATGTAGCCAATTATTGTTTTAACCTCATTAACCTCGTGATGTTCTCCCCGCTGGTGTAAGAAAAACAAATGTATGTTTTTTTTCCACTTGGCCCCCTGGGACACATATTGAAATGTTTCCAGCCCAAAACGGTATTGTGTAAAGTCTCCCAGGAATTTTTACGAGCTTGCAAGAAGCCAAGAGAGCAAGTGAGTGTATGCGTGTGCATTTTAATGATTTTTTTTATTGGCACCACATCATCGCCAGCGACGATCTATCCACTGCTGCACAAATGCCTTCCCATCTCTCAAAGCAATCCGCCTAGCACCTCCAAACGAGTTGCTTTAATCGTTCCATCTCCCTGGTGGGCGCGCTCTCAACAGCATTCCATTCCTGAGCTGCCACTATTTGTGACCCCATCAGTCGTAATATCCTCTCTACTTTTATTAACAGTTTGAGTTGTGGCGTTTTAGGTTGTGTAGGCTATTGACTTCGCATGCTCCTCTTTTCTGTCTCACAATGCGATTCCGAGCTTGAGCTTCTCCACGTTTCTTTGCGCACTTTACACTTTTTAAATCCTCTATATTAAGTTCGCTTGCTTGCTTGCTTGCGCGCTTACGACCGTGCAAATCTTTCGGTCGTGTTTTAACCCACTTCCCGTGATCCAATCGAGCTGACATTTTGCACACAGACTCGTTGTGCGTGACAATTTATTTTCGTGAAATTTTTTTCCCCAAAATTTTCAACTTTTTAGGAAATTATTCTTTTCATACTTAATTTAAAATACCAATGTGATAAAAATGAAACTCTTACTCAAGAAAAACAGAAATGAATAATAAAATAAAACCGATGCCACGCATATAAAGGATTTATAGTGAAAAACTTTGTTTTTACGGGTGAATTTTTTTGTTACCTACGGATCACTTAGCTCCCGCGATCACTACAGTTTGAAATATCAGCACAGCTACCGCAACGCGATGCTGCCCAGCCTGTTGAAAGGGGTCAGCACAGTAAGCCTAAGGACGATCAATACCGTTCAGTGTGCTGCAATAACGTTCCAACACATTGCCGCCACCAGAGTTCGGTACAAATCTATCCCTGCCCCCCTAAAGACAGATGTTAATTCCTGGGTTGGCCAGGCCAAACTCAGGAGAGGTGGAAACCCGGGCTTGAAGTGCATTTTATTGGTAAAGTGGACAGCTAACGTCACCTGCTGGTAGATAACAATAAAAAAAACTATTTAACGTCTGCACAGTTTCAAGATTTATAAATTAATGCGTTTAACATAATAGGGGTGTCGTCATGCAACATCTTGTTTTTTTTTACAATAGTATAATTTATTTCTTATTGATCCATAAGCGTTGGTTGCGTTTAATGGGCGGTAATAACTGATGGCAGTTACGACTGTGTAGGTTTTCGCGGTTGTGTCGCCGTGCGTGGCTCCCCGGTGTGATTTCGGGTCGCGCCGCTACGTGTCGGTTTGGCACGATGTCCGACGTTTCGCTCAGCGGGCTGGGAGCTTTGTGCAACAAAAAAATAAATCCTGAAGAAGCTCCCAGCAACGTGGAGCGAAACGTCAGACGTCATGCAAATAATTAGCTCTATGATGTATTTTTTCCTTTCCCAGTTGTAGCGGTTCAACTGGATAACGCACGAGAGACCTAACTGATGTGATGATTAAATGCTGCTCTCACACCCCTTGCCAAGAGAAAGTCTCATCGATACACCAGATTAAAGCTTCAGCCAAATCGTCTCCCTGCTCAAATGATCAGGGGGTAGCGGTCACCTCCACTGGCAGCCCTGAACCAAGGGGTGAGACCGTGCCCGACTTCTCACATTGTGGTATTGATTGTATCGACCCTGATTGAACGATGATGAGCTGGTTCGACTTTCGACTGCGATTGTGAAATTGCAACTTTCGTATTGTGAGTCGAGGACTCGAATCACGGCGTTGTCAGCCATGAACATTACCATCATCAGCAGCCGCAGCATCAGCTATAATCATCAGCAGCCATAATCTATCCACTGCTGGAATAAAGTCTTCCAAAACCCTCAACATGTTACCTTACAATCCCACATGGCACCTGCTGCACACTAGATGATTTCAACACAAATTTACATCACTCCATCTCAGTGCCAGACAATCATAGTGAAAATAATTTCAATCTGTTGTTACTATTTTGTTTTAATTCTTTTAAACGGTTGAAGTGTATTCAGTTTTTTCTGTACCAGCTTGAATTGTATATCTTTACGCGAGATTAGAATGTTCTGGTACTGTGCACTTTTGTACTTTACTCCTTGTGAAGCGCTGGATTTTTTGCATCCTGCCCGAGGTGTCAATCACAAATCAAAGTCTTTGTCTCCATTGCCCCCTCTTTCCTCATCGGGGAAAAAAAGGATTTGACGGTAGAGTGGTTCGCGTAAAAACGTTAACCCCTTCCCGTTCCGATGATGTACGTGTACGTCATAGAAATGGAACTGGAAGAAGAAATAGAATAACTTTATCGGTACCGAGGCTCCCACAAGGTCATACGGGTGGGCCTGTAGCACAGTTTTCCACCAGCTATTGCAGAGTGCGGTCGGTTCTCTACAATTATCTGCGGTGAGTGCAATGTCTTTAAAAACAATGGCGCTACACCTCTCTAAATAAAGTTAACGCTGAGCCGAGATTCACCGGTAAACGGGCCGCTCACCCTGCAATTTTCAGACGTCTCGGAACGGGAGAGGGTTAACAATTAACAATTCAGACAAATCTTTACCTGTCCACGTTGGTGTCACATGTGTCACCGACCAGATCGTTGTCAATGTCAGACTGAAACAAAAAGAGTCAACACAACAATGTTAGACTACAACAACCAGACACAGCGTGATTGCGTAACTGTAATCATTTACCACGCTTGCTAGCGCCTCCCTATGCGCTTCTCAGTCGCTGTGGCTTGTTGGACTGTGCACAGTTGACCTGCAGTTAGTCCATCACCACTCAGTCGTTCCCGTCGTGCGTCCACCTCCACCACACCACGCACTCGGGTAGTCCGCCCCGCACATATTCAGTCCAGCACTCATTCGCTCAGACCACCACGACTCGTCCCGGTACTTTTTCCACCACCACACGTTCAGTTAGTCCGCTACTCACTCGCTCATTTAGTCCATCGCTCACGCCTCCCTGTAGTCAGTCCACCCCCATGAACTCAGCCCCGTAGTTTGTGTCTAGTTTGTTGTCCTTCCCCCGCACCTCCAGTGAGCACGGTTGGCTACGTACAGTGCGAAAGAAGTCCAACGTAAATCTAGATTTGAAGTTTTCGTGACTGCAATGATTCATACTCTTTGTTTTTTTCGGTAAAGTCACGTAGGTAAAAAATAAATGAAATAAATGATTTAGTTGTTTTCATTTATTTCATTTATTTTTTACCTACGTGACTTTACCGAAAAAACCAAAGAGTATCAAGTCCAACGTGCACACGTAGTTGGTCCACCACCGCTCACCGCTACAGTTAGGCCACCCGCCACTCGCTGCACAGACGTTAGAGCGATGCGCTCCGCTGCTCCCGACGCGGTTATCTGCGCTTGACCAACCTGGATGTCAAATTGTAGCCGTCGCTCTGCATCTACTACACCAGCCACACGAGAGTAAGAAAGAAGACTCGCTCACTCGGGCATCCGGAGGCTCGCACCTGGGAGGGGTTGCTGATCTCAGGACAGCTGTCGCACGCGTCGCCCACGCCGTCCGAGTCCCTGTCCGCCTGCCTCGGGTTCGGCACCCGCGGGCAGTTGTCCAGGATGTTGGCGATCCCTGCATGAGACGCCCATCGTCAAACGCCGCTCTGAGGGGCCCAACGCTCACGCCGCTGGAGGAGCAGCAGACTTCCTCTGGGGTTCTAGATTTGAAGCTTTCGTGACTGCAAGGATTCATATTCTTAGGTTTTTTCGGTAAGGTCACGTAGGTAAAAAATTAAAATTAATAAAAGTAAAATAAAAGAAAAATCACGACGTTTCGGAGGCAACACAAGCTTTCGTCTTCAGGAGGAACCGTCACAGCACGATAGCTGTATCACTTTATACGGTAAATGTCCCCACCTGATACAGCTATCGTGCTGTGACGGTTCCACCTGAAGACGAAAGCTTGTGTTGCCTCCGAAACGTCGTGATTTTTATTTTACTTTTATTAATTTTAATTTTGTACCTACGTGACCTTACCGAAAAAACCTAAGAATATGATTCCTCTGGGGTGGCCGAGGGGCGGCTCGGTCCTCGAGCGCACGCGTAATGAGTCACCCCCCCCCCCCCTCCAGCGACTCGATGGATTGCACGGCCACCGAAACTTTTTTTTGGAGGCCTGGGCCAAAATGGTAGGTGAGGCCCCCTTTTGAGGCCCTCTCGGCCTTTTCTGAGCCATCCCCCCTCCTGGATGTTAGGTCCACGGTAAATGTCCCCACCTGCCCCCACCACCCACCCATCTGCTCCTCTCCTCTTGCACTCATAATAAATTGACACAATTCTCTGTTGCGACCGTTATGGTTTTTACCGATCTCTCATTTGTCGTTTTCATTACTTTTGTGTGCAACACCCTTGCTTGCCAGGAGAGGGCGGTACGTAAATAATCTCCGTCCATAATAGAGGTTTTTTGGGTTAGATCACGAAAATATATAAATGTGTCGTTAAAACCCACCATCACCCGACACAGCCAACTAGTAAGGGTTGTCACGTAAACAGAACGTGCCAATGCGGTGGCCGTCTTTGCTCCATGGTAAGCCACAAGCCGCTGCCGCGAGGATGACCGAAATTCGCGTGATGATAGTTTATGCTGCTTAAACGAGATCAGCGAGGTATTGTGGTTAATTTGTACCAAGCACTTTGTGTGTAATGAGTGCGACCTTAAAACATATTTGCTCGGCAACTGGAAGTCAATGGCAGCTCAGCGAGCACCGGACGGACACGGTGTCAGATCTTGCAGGATCGAATAATCGTTCGGCGCACGATGGGAGCCGGCGCTCCCTCCGCATGTCTGCGCGAGCGTGACGGCGCGTCAAGCGAGGCCATCACCGTCTCCGTCCATGTCGTTGTCGCAGAAGTCGCCCTCCCCGTCGCTGTCCGTGTCCCTCTGGTCGTTGTTGGCCAGCGTCATGCAGTTGTCGCAGGCGTCCCCGTACACGTCCTCGTCCGAGTTCTTCTGCTGCTTGTTCGGCACCAGCCGGCAGTTGTCCTAATTTTTTGCGCGCACGCGGGCGGGACGACAAGACAGGAGTCCCCGGCGATGACGTGAGTCTCACGCCGCAAGTGGAAACTCTTCACGGTCGGTTTGGTTTTGGTTTTGCCCGTTGCGCTAGGTACTCCCTGCGTCGCCCCAAACTCTTAGGGGGCCCACATAGAGCAACGGACGGGACGCCTGTTAAGCCGACGCGTCGGCGATGTGATCGTGAGGTTATCGTTGACGTTGATGACGGTAGGATGGTTGTGGTGACCGGTCGCGATGGTGGTGTTGGTGAGGTGGTCTTGGTTGTGTTGGTGGTAGTTGCGTTGGTGATGGTGGTAATGATGGCGTGTTGGTAGTGTGATTGTGATGGTGGTAATGATGGTGGTGTATGGAAATGTTAGAGGTGGTGGTTGTTGGCCAACCTTGATGGAACATCTTCTGCCACAGCAGACAAGAGCTCTGTGTACATTAGCTGCATGTTGTTTGTTGCGAATCTGGACCCCCACGTCTCATTCATAACATCCTTGGCGACCTTCTCCGCCAACCTCACGGCGATTTGTTACAAAGAGAAGGACCCGAACCTCCAAGTTGAAAATGCCATCTCCATCGGCGTCTTCGTCGCACTGATCCCCAATCCCGTCGTTGTCCACATCCTCTTGCCCAGAGTTGGGAGTGAATTTGCAGTTGTCCTGCAAGAGCAGACGGGGAGAAGCTGCTACGTACAAACACATCACAAAGACAAAGATCCCCCCTGCCCCCGTATAGCCTGAACAGACTGTTGCGGTTAGCAAGCAGCGCCTATGAAGGCCAGCACGGCGCACGAGGGGGTGGGTGGCCAACAACCACAGCGGCGATGTTTACACACCGCGCCAGGTACTCGTTTGAGGCCGAGCGGACAGCACACGCTGTGAAATACAGGCGCTCATGCCACCAACAAAGTGCCGCCAGCCTCGGCGGAATACTTGGGACGCACCGTCAGCACGCGGAGACGCGAGGTGAGAGGGGACGGTGAAGGAACACGGAGGGGGCGGGAGTGAGAGGGGTCGTCGGCTGAACCTCACCTTCCTGCAGTTGACGTCCCTGCACTGGAGTCTTTCGTCAGGAACTCCGTCGATGTCCGTGTCCGGGCCGCACATGAAGCCGTCGCCCGCCCAGCCTACGTTGCACTGCGGGAGACGGGGGAGCGTTAAACAAAACGCACGAGACTCGGAATCCCTGGGAGGTCATAGATGAGGGCGGTCGTGGCAGGGCCAGATGAAGGTTCTTGTCGGCCATAGGCACTTCTGTTTCGTAGGCCTTCAGTGATAACTTCATACAGTTGGCACTGCTTCACTATGTTACTTACTCTCTATTGCGAATGAGATTGTGCGAAAAACACCATTTGAAGAAAATCTTGATAATTTTTCAATGAAAACATAGCGAAAAGTTAAATTCTCTCACATTATCAAAACAACAACCGATTGTCATTGGCATGACTCTGCCTCTTTGTATATATGCACTGTGCCTATCATTGCTATAGAAAATATGTTTATGCAAGATGACATCTTGCTTACATTTCTAATCATGCAAAAAAAAAACATGGTCAAATGTTTTTTTTCCCGTAGGCCCTTCAGTTTTCGCAAGCCCGAGGCACGGTGCCTCCTGTGGCCTATTGGATAAAACGGCCCAAGGGTTCGTGGCGCTGCGGTGGATGCTGTGGGTCAGGCACAGTGGCAGATTATCCTGGTAGAAAAAGTAGCTACAGATGCTACGGGCCCGCACTTTCAAGGGCCCCGTGCTAAATGATTTCAAGCTATCAATTACGGTTCAGTGATTCTGCACTTGCTCTATTACAATAGTACTATACCACCTTCAACTTTTATGAACGACTGGGTGTTTAAGGTTAGCAAGTTAAAAATGTGTGTTTTAATATTTATGTTTTTTTTATTTAGGGCCCCTTTATAACATTTGCTACAGGCCCCGCACTAGCTTAATCTGGCACTGGTCAGGCAGCAGGTGGTACCACGCAGGTGATCTCCCCGTCGCGCTCCACGATGCAGTGGGCGTTGATGTTGCAGGGGTTCTTGATGCCGTTGGGGCAGGCCCGCGTGGGCTTGCATCCCACCGTCTGGTTCCCCACGTAGCCGTCCTTGCACGGCCCACACCGGAACGAGCCCTAGGACGATGGAGGCGCGCAGATCGCCATCGAAAGGGTTCCACGGCTCAAAGTGCCGAGAGGCCGTGCGTCGCCGGACCGCGCACGTAAACTATGAACTAAAACTACTCGACTGTTTATTTTTATTTTACCACCACTCTCATCAGCGTAGAGGGTAATATTTCCTAGTCTTCCACAGTGGCCAGAAGTCTTTGAAGAGGTGGAAGCACCCACGCTTTACCCCCACCTTACACGACCGTGCAAACAACTAACTAAACTATTTTTTATTTTACCAGGTAAGGCCCACTGAGCCACAGAGCTTTTTTTCAGACGTGACCTGACCGCAAATGATAGCTCAACAGAGTGGCTTATCATGTGGAAACTTAAACACGTGATGTTGATAATTATAAACGTGGAGGGAAAAACCGCCACGGCGAGAGAGAGACACCGCAGCAGCAGCAGGCGTCAGGGTCGTGATTGAACCCACGACCTCCTGTAGACCAGGCGAGGTCGTTAACATCTCCTAGCCACCGCGGCGCTGGAGAGGGGCGACCACCTTACCACTGAGTTGATGCAGACGGAGTGAGCCGTGCAGCCGCCGTCCTTCCCGTCTTCACACTCGTTAATGTCGCTGCACACCTGCAGCAGCGGGTAACAAAGCATTGTCCAACATTGAGACCTCGGAAAAATTTGGGCGCCGTTTGCATCTGGAAGCGCATTTCTCAAGCTGCGCGCCCAGGTGGTCTTTAATTCATTATAATCAAAGCTGCCCTATTACGTCCACAGATATTAGGTCAAAAGGAGCAGCCTGTAAGGGCCTCCACCAAGTGGGGGGGGGGGGAACTCTTGAGGGCCCAACTAGAGGGTACATTGGCCTACTCTTCCACGCTAGCCAGACGTCTTCATGTATGTCTGTCTGTGTGTTGAACTTCTTTCGCACCGTGCGTAGCTAACCGTGCGAATCGGAGGCGCGGGGGGCAGGACAAAAACTAAATACGCGAAACGAAAAGAGGTGGGAGTACGGTTACCCACACTTGACCCCACCACACGTGACCTTCTGGTTGTTGACTGCTGTACCTGTTTATGTTGCTGGGTAGGCAAGGGTGGGGTTGGGGGGATTTGAGAAACCTGCTCTTCCATTGTTTCATCTGCCACGCTTGGGAGATCAGACTGGCGACTTCTGGATTGCAAGTCCGGTGTGCTAAACCATTACGCCTCACCAACAGGTGTACATGTGGCTTTGCGTGTATATATATATAAAATGAAATTAAAAGCTCATTAAAGGCATTCGTTTCATGTTGTGTACCGGCGTGTTTCGTGTTAGTAAGGCACGTGTTTCACGTTGCGTATGAGTGTGTTTCCTCGCCGTGACGTGGCGCTGACGTTCCCTGCTCGCATTCCACGTTTCTCCTGCACGGTGTCTACGACGCAGCCTGCGCACCGGGGACCCCGAAAAGCTCGCAGGCCACACCCCGGGCCGGGGTCGACAACCGCGGTGGTGCCGCCCCGCTCACCTGCTTCCTGGCGGTGGCCTGCTGCAGGCCGATGCCCTGCACGAGTTCGCCCGTGAAGCCGGGCGGGCACGGCTCGCACATGAAGCCGGGCGCCGAGTTGAGGCATCGGGAGCCTCGGAAGCACGGGTTCGACACCTTGCACTGGTCATCGCACACAGCGGGTCGACACGGACGACGGATGTCATCGCCTCAGTACACACAAAGTGCTCGCCACAAACGAACCTTTCTGAGGACCACAAACCATCATCACGTGACCTCTGGTCATCCTCGCAGCGGCGGCTTTTGGCTCGCCATCGAACAAAGACGGTCACCGCATTGCGCGCTTTCAGATGCGCTTCTGCGGCCGTCTGGAATGCTCTTCCTCCGATTAGCACAGTTGATTACGTACAGTGCGAAATAAGTTCAACATACATACATACATGGATCATCATCAGCCATGGCCAATAAACCTCTGGATCATGTGCCCCCCAAAGCAACCACCACCTCTCACGATAAAAAATTACACGGTACATTTCGTATTCGCGCCATTCTTGAAGCGCAATTCTATCACGGAGGAAGGCCCTACGTTGCACACTATCTGCAGTAGTTTCGCAGTCGGGGGCTATGTTGCTATGTGCAATCCCATAGGCCTCACACATTATCTTGCATTCTTTCCGTTCCACAGTTACTCGTGTCCAAGTAGCGGCCTCTGAACTCTGTGATCTCCTCCCGCTGCTGCCATCGTTCGGAAGACGCAGGATGTCGTGTCACGCAATTTTCGTGCGTAACAAATCCTTCCATTTTGCGTGGGGCCACGGGACCTACGCATTTCCCCGATGACTTTTAGTGACGGTGGAAAAGACCATAACCTGTGGGCCCTAAAAGGTGGAGCCTCTGCAGCGTACAGGTTCACTGTGATGCAAGTGAATAAGGACTGTGGACATGCGATGTTATTCCATAAATGTTTGTAGCGATTTGCTTACCTTTCCTACACTTTGCATCGTTTATAACTTTCTGACGTGCGCTTACTGAAAAATAGCTTCAAAGCTCATCGAATTCCTCCAGTGTGAATAAAAGATTCTGATTCCGATCGGTTGCCACGCTTCTCTTCCCTTCTCTCGGTCTCCACCCCATCGCCGATGTCGTCTCCCTCCTCTCGCCCATCGTCTCCGGCCGCCCTCTCCGCGCGATTGCCTCGTTCCTCTATTCCTCTTCTCGCGCCACGTGTAGCTGGCCATGCGCTGCGCGAACACTCCCCGACGGCGGTGCGCGTAAATCGCGGCCCGGAACCCAGGCTCGATGCGACGACCTCCTGCGGAGGTCCGCTTCATCCGGCGAGTGCAGACCCACCGGGCCCTCCTCCTCCTGCGGTGGGCCCCCAGGCACGAGCCCCGCCTCACCTCGTCGATGTCGTCGCAGTGCGTCCCGTTGCCGATGAAGCCGTCGGGGCACTGGCCGCACTCGAACCCCTCGGCCGTCTCCTTGCACTCGACGCCCACGGAGCACGGGTTGGGGTCGCAGCCCGGCTTCTTGGGGGGCAGCACGCGGGGGCCGTCGTCAAAGCCTGGGGGGGGGGGGGGGTGGTGGGGGGATGGGGAAGTCGTCCGGAGCGGTGTGACGCCGCGTGGCCCAAACGCAGGCCGCCCTTTTAACGCTTTCCAAGAGAGGGGCTATAATGCAACGTAAGCTGTTGTGTTACAGGGCTATTGTGCCATAGCCCTGTCTGCCCTGTCCGTCTGATAAGTTGGCATTGAGTTGCGTCCCTTTTCAAATGCAATGTGTATGGAACACGTGCCGTGCTTGTGAGCATGTTTGGTTTTTAAAATGTGCACGTTTTTCTCAGCCGATCAAGGAAGAAATACTTCGCAATGTATTTTTCCCAAATGTTATCGCAATCGCGTTTGTTAGTACCGTATCACGAGACGTAGTATCCATTCGGATCTCCCGATTGTGGCACGACAACTCGCGATCGAGACGATCCAGCACCGGCAGTGATGCCACGCGTGCCCCAAGTTTAGTTCACCACTTTTCGTGTGTGTTTTGTTATTGACGCTCTCCAATTGGGGGTTGAACACATTGACGCATCGGCTCTGTCCACCTGCCCCGCAAGCGGGAGGAGGCTGGTTCCTGCCCTAGTGACGTGGAAATTTCCACCGCTGGCTCAAGGGCCACCAACTGGGATGAGCGCCGCCTTGGAGCTCGGTTGAGCGGGGGGAGCCTCTGTGGCTTTGTCTTTAGCTAATCTCGCCACGTGACAAGGGGGAAATGTTCATACAGACACGCTCGTACCACAGGCTTGGCACTCCAGAACCGCGTTTCGGAGCATCGATGTTTCTTTCACCTGAAAAAGAGAAGCGTACAAAGTCACGAATATAAGATGATATGCCTGGGTCAACATCATCATCGTCGTCAGCCATTATCATTCCAAGCTGTCATCATCTCTCCCAGTTCTATAACACAACGGTTCATAGTGCACTGCGCTAACCGCAGCGCCATTATTCCAGAAACAAATACAAAGATCCCTTGGATAGTCTTTAACAGATTGTTGGGTCAGGTGTGGTTAGCGAACACCTAAGAAGGCAGGGCTCAGCAGCACACGAGGGGGTGAGTGGCCAACGCCATGCCCAGCAGCTTTTGTCTCCACAATGTTGATGTTTATAAACTGCACCAGCGTCTCATTTGAGGATGAGTCGACATTGGGGGAGGTTTAGGATCGGTTCGAACCTTCACCCTTGTTATTGGTCGTGAGCGGGAATCGAACCCGGGTCGCCGGTTTCGTTGTGCAGCGCAATAACTATATTGCCGTCCCCCATAACTGCTGTCCATATACACACACATACAAGACAGACACGTGTGTGTGTGTGTGTGTATGGAAAGTACTCGAGTTTCTCTAGTACTGATGTTTGTCACGTGATAATAACAAGTAAAATAACGCAAAAAACTAATTTGTATGCAAGAAACGAACAGCTCAAATCATGTGGCTATGTACTCCAGGCTGTGTGACTGGGACATCGCGCGAGCATTCAGCAGTGCCTTTATAACCCCCAGTGTTAGAAAAGGACACGGATATAATCTTGTCTGACCAGTAATGGCCTACGGTGCCATACAACCTGGCCCCTAAATAAAGAAGAAGTAATAAAGTCAGAAGTTCGTCAAAGAGCATTAGAAAGGAGGATTTTTAACACCGATACAAAATAATACTTTCAGAATGGAAGCCAGGGAGAACAGATGCGATTTCACAAAGTGTAACAAGATTGCTTGACAGAGCTGGGCAAGGCATCTCGCTCGAACGTCAGATGACATTTGGGCGAGATTAACAAGCAGAATGGATGTCGATGGAGGGAAGAGAAAGAGAGGAAGACAATGAGCCGGCGAGACGAGGTTGTTTGGTGTTGGCGTCCTTCCCCGCACCTCCAAAGAGCACGGTCGGCTACATGCTGTGCGAAAGAAATTCAACAGACGCGCGTACATGCGGTACACGATTTTGGAGGAGCGCATTGGATGGAGGTGGCAAGAGACCGTGAAGAGTGGAAGAGATTGGGGAGGGGTGGGGGGATGAGGCCTTTCCTCGGCGGTGGTGCGTTCACGGCTAAAGAGAGGCTACGGATAAACAGGTGGATAAATGATGCGCGCGCGTGGTGCTTACCTGCTGCCGGATGTCATCCCTGAGCTCTCTCAAGACGTCGGTGAACAGAGTCATCTGCTGCAACATCAGCCGGGACACGTCTCCTGCAAGGGCGGAGGGGGCAGGTTGGCGCAAAGTCACCTGGCTGGCACTCGACTAGGCCTCGGCAAGGTAAGGTAATTTTCTTGCTGTGGATTTCACACCTGATGATGATTGCTTGTGTTGCAAGTCGAAACGTCGTGAGAATTTTTATTGTTTTATATTTATATTATTTTATTATTTACCTTCTACGTGACTTTTTTACCGAAAGAACCAAGAATATGAATCCCTGCAGTCACGAAAGCTTTAAATCAAAATTTAAGGGAAGATAATTTACCCTTTTTACCGGGTAAAAGGATAAAGGTAAAGTGTAAAGGTGTCGACATGCCAAGGGGTAAGGTAAAGGGTAGGGTAAAGGTAGCTCGGAAGAATTACCCGGTAGGGTAAAGATAGCGCGAAGTGTTACCCGGTAAATACGGTGCCTTGTTTACCGCTAAAAGCTCCGTGGCACAATCTGTGGCCTCCATTTAATAAGTAATATTTAAAATAAACTTTTTTTAAACACGCTTTTATTAAATGTACTAGTAATGGCAGAACTCCTTATCTCCAGGAAGTGGCCCCGATGCTTGCCATAACAAAAGGGACCGTGGCCAATTACAGCCAACGTTAGTTGAGCGTGGACGTATGATTAAAACAATTTAACCAAGATATCTTCTTGAATAAATATATTTATATAGCAACAGTAGGCACAGGGTTGAACATTTAATCTGCGGCACAGGGCACGCTCCCATCGAATGAGGTCACAGACTAAATAATGAACATATCAGTAAGGTCATCTGTCCAGCGGCTGGACAAAGTGTCACGTGAAACTAGCGGAAGTGACCGCGGCGGTGCTAACGTGGGGCAGCAGCAGCAACTGTTGAAAGTTGCAGTTGAAGGCCTACGAAACAGAAGTGCCTAGGGCCTACAAGAACCGTAAATCCGGCCCTGCTTGTTCACCTCCAGCTTTCATCGGTGTTGTGTGTGGCTGCGTTGTGACGGACGGCACTACCACGGGCACTCAAGAGAGATGATCGACCAAGGGAGTGCCCTGAAGCCAGATCGTGGTGGTTGGTGATGATGAGGCTGTAGTAAATAATGAACGATGATAGCAGGTTGCAAAAAGAGTGCCCCTTACCCATGGCTCCAGTGTCTCCATTCACTGTAAAAGATCAAACAGAAAACGGTTAACTCAGGCTCTGTCATTTCACAGCACGTGCTCGATTGTTAGTGCTTTTCACCTGGTTGCGAACAGTGTCTTTTATTGTCACGCGGTGTGTGTCGATGTAGTCCTAGCCACCACGTCGTGTGCCGTGCCAGCCTTCATAGGGTGCCCGTTAACAGCACTTGCCTCCAAAAGTCTGTTAAGGTTATACGGGGGATCTTTGTCTTTACGCGTGCGTGTATGACCAGATGTGTGCTTCTTACTTTAAGGAGCGTCTCATTGTTTTACACGTGGTACACCTGAGTGTGTGTGCTTCATGCGTGCATAGCTTGCGGTGGCGTAGCGTGGTTTGGTATGGGCCCTGGTGCAAGGAACGAAATTAGGGCCCCCTATGCAATGTTCCCCCTCTCATCATAGCTCGGTGCCTGGGGCCCCCTCTGGCCGCTGCGGTCCTGGTGAAATTGCCACAGCCTGGACACCCGATAGCTATGCCATAATTGATCAATATAATCAGCAAGAGTATTGGCTGTGAAATCGTTCACTGCGTAGGCTTTCGCCGTTTCGCCCTCGTCGCTCCGATGTGCATTCAGTCGGTACCGCGTGTTGTTTGGCACGTTCCTGAACGTTTTGTTTCTTTAAGAAGCTCGCAGAAGGTTGGAGCATAAATGTCGGACTTCATGCCGGAACAGCACGCGGTACAACCGGGCAACACATTGGTGTGGTCGTTCGTTTGAGACGACATCATCATCGTCGTCGTCATACGCCCGTGTACACGCGTGCGACGGCGGCGTGTGGGGTCATTGCGGGCTCCTTACCGATGTTGCGTGCCGAGTCATCGTCCTGGAACTCGCACTCCTGCATGAGCCCCACTTTGGCGAGGGATCCTCCCATAATCCAGCGCAGGTCGTTCAGCGAGCCCTGCTAATAGATGAGCAGCCACAACCTTGAGACGGATCGCCCAACAAGAGACAGCAAACTTTTGTACGGACGGCGGCCTTGCTCAAATTTAACGACTGTACGGAGATTTCACGTTTTTTTTTTATCCGGTTGCCAAGTTGGCTCGGGCATCACTGCCTCGTTGAGCTGGCAATTTGACCATTATGCGACGACCGCTACTGTGCACGGCAGGGTTGGTGGAAGAGTGCCACAGCCCTACTGTGGTCACTCGAAGCGTTGTCAGTGGTAGGTCTGTGGTACCCACTTCCGTGGGCCCTTCTCTAAAACGAAGGGTGGCGCTGCTCTTTGAGAGATGCGAATGCAGACTGCGTCTCGTGATATTATACGAACGGTACTATTGTGATAGAAAAATTGGGGAAAATACATTTACTAATTTTTCCCTTCATTGGCTAAGAAAAACGTGAATATTTTAGCGAAACCAAACATGCTCACATACACAACAGATGCTCCATATACATTGCATTTTAAAAAGGTACGCAACTTAATTCCAAGTTATTATTGAGATATATGTTCAAAATACAAAGCTCATATACATGTAAGCGAAATTATGTTACGAATATTACGCATTCTTTTGGTAATGGCATTTGTTCTGACAAATTCCTGTGTTGCTTTTGATTACATTTGCAATTTTGTTGCGGTCATTTTCTGGAATTAAATATATTTTTTGTAACATACTTTTTTTTGCATCTGCGCTCCACGTTTTCCCTGCAAAAGAGACTTGACTTAGAGGGTTCTCGACATCATCAATAATCATGACCTATCCACTGTTGGATGAAGGCCTCACCAAGCCATCACCATCTATCACGGTCCATCTTCCAGATATGCTCCCTCCTAAAGGGATGATGACTGGTGGTGGTTGAGCGGTGACAGCCAGTTATCAACCCTTTTAACCCTTTCCCGTTCCAAGAGGTCTGCAAGTTGCAGGCTGGGTTGTCCTGTTCACCTCTGAATCTCGGAACGTACAAGCGGTTAGCGTTAATTTAATTTAGAGAGATATAGCACCGCTGTTTTTAAAGACATTGTACTCACCGTAGACAACTGTAGGGACACGACCACGCTCTATGATAGCTGGCACCAAACCGGTGCCACACGCCCTCCCACATTTCCTTGTAGGAGCCTCGGTACGTCTTCCGACCCGATAAAGTCATTTTATTTTTTCTTTCAATTCCGTTCCGATGACGTACGTGTACGAACGTGTAGACGTGTACATGTACCTACGTGTACACGTGTACATGTACCTACGTGTACACGTGTACATGTACCTACGTGTACACGGACATCATCGGAACAGAATCGGAAGAAAAACCGATGACGCACGAGTACGTCATCGGAATGGGAAAGGGTTAACATAATGTCCTGTCCAAGCCTACTCACTTAGCAGATAATATGATGTCTCTAACTTATGCTCTCTCATCCCACGTGTTTCTCAACCTACATCTCAGTGTAATTAAAAGCATGCACCTCTGCACGCTTCCTTTAACCTTTTTCTGATTTTATTATATTTCCATTATCGATGTCCGCGTGTGTGATATCACAGCAGGCAATAATACCACACTGATTGTTTGTTCTCCTTCAGGCACATTGCTATGTTGCTTTTCATGATCAAGTTCAGTTTTACAAAGTGTTCTCGACCGCATCCCTATCTCATCGTTTAGATCCCAGATCACTTTCTAAAACTGCTCCTGGTTGACAATTTGCGGCACACTGTAGTTCTTAGAGTGTGGTCTACGACGTTCCTCCGGGCGATCCGTGGGGGTGTGATGCAAATGCAGGTTGATTCAGAAATAATGACAATGTTTATAGATTTTGTGTCTAACATTCATTTATATTTTACTCATGCTACTTCATAAAAAAGTTACGTAAACTTGCCCGATTGGACTACCCTAACCCTATGATCTAAATGCCCCTGATAAAATAACACGGCTGCGTTAAAAAATAACTAAACATGTTTTTGGCTTCCGGTAATGAATAATGTTGTATTGCTGCCATTCAGAGATAAGTGGCTGCGTTTTGTCACCAGCAGTGGGTACCCGATCGCGACCTCTGGGATGAAGCCATGTTGCAGGCGCGGGTGGGTTAATTCTAGGAACTTGAATTGTGAGAAGAGACAAGACGTTGGGAAATGAGTGACAAACGGTTACTCACCAGTGACTCACGGCCTACCCGTACCCGTACCCGGCCGCACCAGGGTCGCAAACGGGTACCCGGGTATCGGGTAGGGTACGGGTATCGGGTACCCGATTGCGACCTCTGTCCTGCACCGCTGTTACCAACAACAGCAGCAGCAGAACAAGCCCAGAGGCCTTTCTCTACAGCCACGATTGAATTCTTCGTCTTCCTTAACCAGCGGACACATACCGTGTCAACCCACACAGTTTACTCCGTATTCTTGTACAGGGAAATTGAGTTTTCAGGTCCATATGGCGTACAGCCGTTTCAATACGGGCAAATTATTTTTAGTTTTTGTTTGTGTTTCTCCCTTGTGATGGGACTTTGTAGGATGAACGTTGAGACTTATAAGGAGCACGGGGAGACCAATAAGGTCTCAATTATCCTGCAACAAGGTAGGGCACTGATAAGGGGTTGACAGCTATGACAGGAGCTGCTTAAATACCGCTCATTCAGCCTGCCGGGCATGATAGCGCCACATCACAGACCTCGCCAGCCCGGATATTCTATTCTGGCATATGGCAGGACCTAAATGCCAATGTAGAGGTCTGTTTGCCACAACAGGGCTTTGGGAGAGAGTTCGTGTCCTTTTGCTATGCCTCCTCCATTGCAGGAGCGCACACTGCTTTGGTTGACTATATGGTCCGTAGTTTTCGTTGTAGCTTGTCTTTAATGTGGTTCTATGTATCTCCTTGGGCCTCCACGTATCTATACGAGTCTCTTTGCATCTCTGTGGGTGTAGTGTGTTGTTCAGAGTTTGGCTTGCACGTCCACAATAGCACTATACTGTGGCTTGCTTTAATTTTCCATTCACAAATGGACAGGTGTGCATCGGCCTGGACATCGAACCCTCCCTCCTCGCGAGGGCCACCCATGGTGGTTGTGGAAGTGGTGTGGCCAGGTCGGGTGGCTAAGCAGGGGCGGACGCTGTGCCCTGGCGAGCCTTCCATCAGGCTTCCAGACGCTCGGCGTTTAAGTACGGACACAACGCTCGAGTCGACCCCAACACTCTGGCTGCCCGTGCCGTCGTCACTCAAATCTCTCTACCCCCACCCCACCCACCCATTCACTGCGACGCTGCAACCCCCCGAGGTGACAACAGTCGCCTTTCCCATTCATCAGGACCTCGTGGTCGCTGGAAGTCACGCCAGGACCCTTTTGGACACTTGCCCAAAACCTTAAAACAATTTCGAGATCAACCCCCGACGAAGCTTGGAGAGCTGAATGGAGTAAAAAAAAAAACTCGCAAACACCGGCTCGTTGTGAAAGACCCAACGCAGGAGATCCCCCTTGGGTTTGATCTTCCACGAAGCTCGTGGTCCACCCTAAGCCGCATCATCCACTACACAGACCATGGAAGTAGATGCGGATACCTGATGATGCACAAATGGAAAATTGAAAAAAAACTCTCCAGTGGTAGTGGTGCCACTCCGGTCATCCAGAACAGACCGTGACGACGTGAAACGACGCAATGCCCAGATCCACAAATTCCGAAGGAGACATCAAAGCGACGACGATGATGATGATGATGACGACGGCGATGATGATGATGTCGATGATGCGCTACTCCGCTACTGCTCTTGACTCGGTTGTCATGCTGGCGTGACCGACCTCAATGTGAAATTGTAGTCGTTGCTCTGCGTCTACATCAGCAGCCGTACGACAACAATAAGATGGACACAGCTTCGGGTCTTTGACCGTCAACTCATTTATCGCCGTCCCACCTCTGCCTCTAAAGTGCTGAGGCGACATAAGCGACCGTACGACGACCACGTCCAGGTCGTGCACGAAGAGCTGAATGATCGCGAAGGATGTCGCTGTTGTTGTTATCGTTGTTATATGTCGTGTTTACAAAAAAACAATCGTACAATCCCCGACGCACGAGGCCCACCTACCTTCAGCCAGCTCGGGAGGGGGGGGGGGGCAGGCACATTGGGGCAAGGCACAGGCACGGTCTTCACGGTGGGCCTCGGATAAAGTGCTGTACACTTTGGTTTCCGCGCCACCCGTATAGCAACCCAAAAGGCCATCACGCAGCCACTAACATTGATGCTTCGTGAGCTTTACAGAACGTTCCCGACAATGGCCGATGCCGACGCCGACCGCTGCTGCGATGCGAAGGGGTGCGGCCCCTGGAGTGGGAGTCATCTGAGCACCAAAGGTCAACCAAAATGAAACGTGGACATCACCCAAAAAAGGGGGCTTCAGCCACCGTCCTCTGGCCCACCCAGCTCCACCTCACGCCACGAACAACCCGCGCCACCTCCCTTCCCGTCCCAAAACACCGACGCCGCCTCGCTCACCTGGGTGCGGAAGAGGGTCCGCTGGCCCGTGCGCATCTCGGCGCTGCCCGTCTCGAAGGTCAGGCCGGCCAGGGGCGGCGGCACCTCCTTGGCCGAGTCGACGAGGGCGCAGTCCACGTAGAGCTGCACATTGGCGGCGGCGCCCTGCAGGCCGCTCATCCGTAGCATCACCGAGTGCGTCTTGCCGTCGCTCAGCGCCGCGTTGTTCAGAGTCACCAGGTGCTGCCTCCGGTCCGCCTTGATGTAGCGCATGAGGACTGCCAGGGTGGGGCCCAAATGGACACGCGAACGGACAGACCGACGGAGGGACGGGAGCGTCAAGATCCGATACGAACCCCAAAGCGTGGGTCATATGATACGAATGTTGTAGTCGTATACAGCATAGCGCTGTAGTCTTCGAGGTGGGAGGAATGTTACTTTCGCCGATAAGACATCGTCAGTGTGAGGACCGCCACACAATGGGTTTGACAGCAGCACGATGACGACGATGATGATGTGTGTTGTCTTCTCTCTTTGTGTATTGTCGGGGGGCTGCACGTCAAGGGCCGCACTAAAGGCCACCAGAGTCGCCAGTGGCCCCAGAAGAACACTGCTGTATAGCATCATTCATGCAGATTGCATCTCACTCAAGGCTTTGCAATGTGTAATGCCCAGAGGCACCCCAGACAAGCGGGGAAGGCAGCCGGGTGGCGAGCCAGCGCCAACAGGAGGTTTTCATCTGGTTAATGAGTATTTATATGTGTCGGGCAAAAGCAGAGCACCCACAGAAAGCAGATGCGTGTGGGGAAAGGGGCAATACTACATCCCATTAAGATGGAACAGATAGAGATTACAGGAGAACCCTTATCCGTGGCCCTATTAGCAGCGACTCCTATTATCCGCGATAACTGTGGGCTCTGCAAAAACTCTTATCCACGGGTCTTATTTCTTCCAGTTATCTGATATTTTACCAACAATGCATAACTCTGATTTTTTTCCAGTGCGCCAGATGGACGATTCGCAGATAACAGGATCCGCGATTTTGAGTCCCCCCTCTCCCCCCCCCCCCCATATCACCGCGGATAAGACGGGTGGGTATGTACGTATGTATGTATGTAGGTGGGGAGCGGTAGTGTAGTGGTTAGCGCTGCGCTATGATCCTGGCGACCCGGGTTCGATTCCCGCTCACGGCCAACACCAGTGACGATTATCTGAACCGGTCCTGGGCCTTCCCTAGGTCGACTCAGCCTTAAATGAGTACCTGGTGCGGTGTGTAAATATCGCCACTAAGGAGACAAAGGCGGTCGGGCGTGGTGCTGGCCACCCACCCCCTCGTGTACCGTTCCGGCCTTCATAGGTGCTCGCTAACAGCACTTGCCCCTACAGTCTGTTAAGGCTATACGGGGGGTCTTTATCTTTATCTTATGTAGGTGTGGGGAAGGACAACAAACTAAAAACAGAATAAATCTTTCAGGTGCACTTCTGCGGCCGTCTGGAACGCTCTTCCATTTGATATTGGGAAGCCACTGGGAGCAATGCAACGTTTTAAATCATCTAAATTGGACGCCCATTACTCCAGAACTGCTTTCTTGTGTTCAGTTTGTTGTCCCCCCCCCCCGCACCTCCGATTAATTGATCGATTAATTTATTAATCGGAGGTGCGGGGCAAGGGGCCGTCCATAAATGACGTCACACGATTTTGGACGATTTTTGACCCCCCCCCCCTAATCACACGACGTCACAAAAAGTCAGACCGCCCCCTCAAATATGACGTCACAAAACTCTGCCCCCCCCCCAAAAAAATATATAAAACATGCTTCAAATCGCTTTAAACTATTGTCAATTTTGTGCGTATTTAATGTGGCACTGCACTCTGATGTTGTAGGAGAAAACATTTATAAAAAAAGCCCATTTAATTAAGTAGAACGTGTTGTCTATATTTATTTAAAGTTGCGCATTTTGATGTGACGTCACATTTCTCAAACCCCCTCCCCCCTTCGTCACACATCGTCACAAATGTCTGACCCCGCCTCCCCCCCAGGTGCGTGACGTCATTTATGGACGGCCCCCAAAGAATTACGTGGGTGGGTTGGCGGCAGGGGGGGGGGGTAGGAGGTTCTTTCTACCGCGTCCGTGACCGCGAACCGTGCGACGACCTCACCCTTGTTGCCCTTGCCCAGGAGGACGACCTCGAGCAGCTTGGCGTTGTCCTTGCCCGTGACGCTCACCAGCATGCCGTTGGTGGCCGTCCACAGCTTGAGGTTGGTGAGGAGGTAGACGTCGTCCTTCGCTCGCATCTCCCGCAGGAACGTGTCGGCCGCCACCTCGCCCGCCTTGCCGTCGGCCAGGGAGAACACGTCCAGCACTGCGACGTGGCAAAAACAAAACAAAAAACGTCACTCGTGATCCGACGGCGGAAATTTTGGGATTTTCTCTTCCGCGACGACTGTGGGCCGCGCGGAACCGCGCTCGAACGCGGCACGGCGGATGCGCGTGCACGTTCCATAGATGGAAGATCAAAGAATCGCCCGTCTGCGACTGTGGAGACGTCCAAACCATCGAGCACATCGCCGATGAATGCTCCATCCCTGCACATCCTGGCGGTGTCGCTGAACTCCACACCGCGTCAACCGCATCGTTGGACTGGATGAGGAACCTTTGCATTCATTTATGACGATCATTAAGAAAAAAATACCATACGAAATAAGGAGACTGCAATGGCCACGTGCGACACGCATGACGCGTGTACGTACGTAAGTAAGCTGAACTTCTTTTGCACCGTACATAAGCTAAACCGCGCTAATCGGAGGTGCGAGCGAGTCGGCGCCTTTCGCTCGCTCTCGTGGACAAGCGTGAGAGTCTTCATCGCAATGATTTCTTTCGACCGGAGGAGTCCAATGAGCTATGAAGCTATTTTGTCTTTCTCAAAGATGTCCAATTGGGACGGGTCAGCAAGTTGCAACAACAAATGGTACAACAACAACGATAGGAGTGCTAAATGGAGAAAAGGTAAGCAGGTGACGAAAAATAAATATAAATAAAGTATATGAATACAAATATCATAAGTACGTAAATTCCTGTCGATTTTGCAACACTAAAATGCAAGCTTGGGCAAGGCGGCAAAACATCAACAAAGACAGAGAACGACTCAGAGGCACGAGGAGGAACCACAGACAAAGCAGCAGCTACACGGTGAGCAATTGTCCAAGATCTGCGGTACTCTACATATTAAGGTGCTATCAGCCAATTACGTGTGGCAGGAAACCGGAGCGTGTGCGAGGGGGAAACACTCGATCCCACACGGATGGAACAGGTGGAGTCCATACGCTCGCTGTACTGCCCTCTCCCGGCGAGCCAGGGTATGGCACCGCCTCCACACCCACGGGAAGGGAGTTGCAGGAAATGTTGCAGCCCTGACATTTCTCGATGACGGCACCGCTCCTTGAAGAGGCCTCCACTCGAGGGAGCTCTGGAGAGGCCCTCTCCAGCGGGTGATTTGGCCGCCTCGCTCGCTTACCAGACGTCGTGGAGGAGGTGGGAGTACCCACAGCTTTACCCCGCCACACTCGTCGTCCCATCTCCATATATATACAAGGCAAAGTGGTGATTATGTGTGACTGTTCAAAATGTTTAGCGTACTTCCCGACATGCAACAAACTTGAAATTTGTCATGTGGGTACTTTCCAAACTGTACATCATGCAAAAATTATTAAAATACATTTTTGTGTTTTTTTTTTTGGCGGGGGGGAGCTCAATAATGCAGATATTTTTTGCAAGGCAAATGAGCTGTGACGTCACATCTGTCACGTGACCCGCGCACATGGAAGCGTAACGCATTGTAGTGTCGTGGTTAGCGCGACGCGCTACGAACCCGGCGACCCGAGTTCGATTCCCGCTCACGGCAACTACCGGAGACGATTATTTCAACCGGTCCTGGGCCTCTCCTAGGTCGACTCAGCCTCAAACGAGTAATTGGTGTGGTGTGTGAACATCGGCACTGGGGAGACAAAGGCGGCCGGGCGTGGTGAATCCAAGTCCCATGCGAAGCCGGGTAGTAAAGCTAGTTTTATATAAACTTCTGGGTGGACCGAGGCAGGAGGAGTTGAAAGAAATTTGCATCGTCGTTTAAAATGCCCGCGCCGGGAGATTGGATTGCAAGTCTCAGTGTGCCATCCACGTCACCACAGCGCCGTCCAAATCTAAACTTAATTAAACATACGCACACACACAAAAAACCGTCTATTTCTAATGTAACTATGGCAACGGATGTCTGCATGAGAAAATCAACACAACAAACTCAAAAGGGCCCAATTCAGGCAACGGTGAATATTGCTTTGGCAAAACGAATCCGCCGTCTACATTGCCAATATTCAGTGTCCGATTGCCTCGGCGACGCGTCTCTGTTGATTTTGCCGTGGTGGCAATCACATCCACTGGTGGCCCCGAACCAACTGTGCAAATTCCACATTACTATGGCAGCGGTGCTGTACTGCAATCATCTCTGTCCTCGTTTAAACTGACGCTATTAAAGTCACAAAAGCTTAAGCGAGAATGTAATTTTACAACAATTGCTATGATTAAGCCATTTTTGTTGGTGTAATCTGTGAATGTGGAATGCTTTGAAGTCTGCCGGGTCGAGTTGCTTTGAATAAGTAATATTTAAAAACAAACTTTTTTAACACGTTTTTATGAAATGTACTATAGTCATGGCAGAACTCCACGACTCCAGGAAGTGGCCCCGAAGCTTGCCATAACGTAAGGGACCGTGGACAATTAGACCCAAGCCGAAACATAACATATAAAAAATTATGTTTAAAATATTTTTATTTTACTTTTAATGATAGAATGTAGTATTGTCATCAGTATGACATAAGTATACCAAGTTTGCAGTCGATACCACACTGGGAAGTGGGTTCAAATTGAGTTACAAGATTTGAGGATACAACGACAACAACAGAGTGAGTTAAATGAAAGCGTGTAAATATAGAGCTCCTTAGCTGAACGGGCTTTACTCGGAGGGAAATACCCTTGGGAACTTCTGAATGGTTACCACACTGGACCAGAGGTTGCCGGCTCCATCTCCCGTCGCACCAGTTGAAACGAGAGACAAGCTTCTTCAATCCCCCGGTCTCAGTCCACCCACCAACATAAATGGGTTCCCTTCTACGTGACTTTACCGAAAGAACCAAGAAGATGAATCCCTGCAGTCACGAAAGCTTTAAATCGAAAAATTATGGAGTTCGTTGATCGCAAGATCGTGTAGAGTGGGGTCAAGCATGGGTATACTCCTACCTCTTCGAAGACATCTGCCTTAGTGTATAAGAGTAGGCGATATAGTCTCTACGCTGACGAGAATGGTAAGACAAAACAACAAACCCACTAACTTCACTTGCGCGGGGGAAGAGCGGCGCGCAGGAGCGGATTTGGCACGCGCGCGCGTGTGGGAGCGTGTGTGCGTGTGTGTGCGCTGCGTGTGTGTGCGTGCGTGTGCGCGCTCGTGCGTGTGTGCGCGTGTGTGTGTGCGTGTGTGCGCGCGTGTGTGTGCGTGTGCGCATGCGCGTGTGTGTGTGCATGTGTGTGTGTGTGCGTGCGTGTGTGCGCGTGTGTGTGTATATGCGTGTGTGTGTGCGTGTGTGTGCGTGTGTGTGTGCGTGTGTGTGTGTGCGTGTGTGCGTGTGTGTGCGTGCGTGTGTGTGTGTGCGTGTGTGTGTATGCGTGCGTGTGTGGGCGTGTGCGTGTGTGGGCGTGTGCGTGTGTGTGCGTGCGTGCGTGTGTGTGCGCGCGTGTGTGTGCGTGTGTGTGTGCGTGAGTGTGTGTGTGCGCGCATGTGTGGGTGTGCGTGTGTGTGCGTGTGCATGTGGGGAGCGGTAGTGTAGCGGTTAGCGCGCTGCGCTATGAACCTGGTGACCATGGTTCGATTCCCGCTCACGGCCAACACCAGTGACGATTATCTGAACCGGTCCTGAGCATCCCCTAGGTCGACTCAGCCTGAAATGAGTACCTGGTGCGGTGTGTAAACATCGCCACTGGGGAGACAAAGGCGGTCTGGCGTGGTGCTGGCCACCCACCCCCTCGTGTACCGTTCCGGCCTTCATAGGTGCTCGCTAACAGCACTTGCCCCTACAGTCTGTTAAGGCTATACGGGGGATCTTTATCTTTGTGTGTGCGCGCGTGTGTGTGCATGTGTGTGCAACAAAGCGCACGTATAAGTGTGTCGTAACCCTCCACCACCCGACACAGCCAATTAGCAAGGGATTTGTCACGCAAACAAGAAAAAAATCGCCAATTAGTTTACTACTTCAGCCCACTGGTGTGTTGGAGAGTAAATCTACAACGCGTTTACAATGTGAGTAGTACGACGTTTCGCTGGTAATTACATCAACCAGCATCATCGGGCGAATGTTGGTCGCGAAAACCAACGTGTAAAAATGCCGAGTACAGCACCAACATTCGTCAGTCCCCCGGTGCTGCTGTTGCTGCTGTTGCTGCTGTTGCTGCTGTTGCTGCTGTTGCTGCTGTTGCTGCTGTTGCTGCTGTTGCTGCGGTGGTGGTGGTGGTTGTCGTGGTGGATTTTCCTTTTCACAATTCTCCTCGCCGCCGTTGTATTTTCTGGACTCTCAGCGTTCCACTTTCCTGCATCCTCCCTCCTGTTACCCCTCCTCCCCGCACCTCTGCCCGGGGGTCACCGTTACAAACGGAGCTCATCATTAGCTCAAAATGTGCCCCAGCCCCAGATGAACACAACGGGACTTAGCACGCGGAAAATAAAAATGGATAGGAGCGCACCGAGGAGGGGGGGGGGGGGTCTTTGTGGATTTTGTAAGCGCCCGACGCGAATGGCCAAAACGCTCGCCCATGCTGGTAAAGTTCGCTTCCTCGGGCTCGCGTTACTTGCCCGCGTTAAACCGGAGGCTGCACGTGTGTACGTGCGCGCCCGTGTGCGTGTACGCGCGCGCGTGTGCGTGTGTCGAACTTATTTCGCGTCGTGCGTAGCCGAACCGGGCTAATCGCGAGGCTTCGCGTGCAAGAGCCAGCCACCAACACCACCGCCGCCACCACCGCCGCCACCACCAACGCCACCACCACCGCCGCCACCACCGCCGCCGCCACCACCGCCGCCACCTCCGTCACCGCCGCCGCCACCACCGCCACCACCGCCACCACCACCGCCACCGCCACCTCCGTCACCGCCCCTCCGTACCTGACTGCTTGGACGTGGCCCCAGTCAGCACGCAGAGCAGCGAAAGCGCCACCACCGCTGGCCACGCCGGTGGCCCCATTCTGCTCGAGGGGTGGGGGGTCTCCTTCTTCTCTCCTCTTTTCTTTTCAGATGGAGTGCGACGGATCTGGTCCGATGGATCGTTGCTGTGATCGGTTCAATGATCGATAGATAGATACTATATATATGTGTGTGCGTAACGATTTGAAGGCTATAATCCTTTTTGTGTTAAGGAAAGGGGGCTGAAAAAAAACACTTGATGGAATTCACTTTAAGATTGGTTACTATGGATAGGGGGGGGGGGGTAGCCTGGTCGTTACAAAAAAATAAAGTAACCTGGGGGGGGGGGGGTAGAAGCCCCACGGCGACTGAAAGATCGTCCTGTGCGCAGTCAGAGAGCTGAAAAGTGGCGCGACCAGTGCTGGGAGAGATGCTTTATGGTGTCCGCTAAAGGCCCCCCCACCCACCACCACCGCCACCTCTTTTCAGATCCCCCCCCACTCCCACCACTGCAAATTTTGCTCACCCAATAGCAGTGGGGTTGCGGTTCAAAGAGCGTTTCCATGCTTGGTTGAAATGAACGCAAGTGGACGGGGTACGTTGGTGGGGGGGGGGGGGTAAAGTATGTGCACAGGGCACGAATTAATTTCACCGATTCCCTCCAGGGAGAACGGCGGCGTCTGTTTAAGTAATCTTCGGTTTCAGCTGCTGGAGAAGCTGTAGGAAAATACGTGCGGTACACTGCGAGACAGAGGAGGGCGGGCGGGGAGGTGGGAAAGACGATGGGAGCTTGAGCCAGACTTTTATAGGTGCAGGCAGCCACAAAAAAGGCCCTCTCTGTTGTTGGTATTACGAGCAGTGGTGCATGCCTGTCGGAGTTAGACGCCCATCGCCGCCGACATCACCCGCCACGATCTATCCACTGCTCGACGAAGACACTTCCAAGCCGTGTCGAATTACGGGGATTTTCTTCTCAGCATACTTCACAGAGTTGGTCAATGCATGGTTCGGATATCACCCACGACTGATGTTCGCCGTCGGCCAGGAATCGAACTCAGCTTGCCAGGTTCATAGTGTGGCGCGCTAACCACAAATATAGCTACTAATCTACCACCGATAGATCGACCTAATCCATCTGTCCATCTCTCACGGTGCTGCAATCCATCGAGCACCTTTTGTTTGCGGTGATTTCATCGCTTCTGCCACGAGGCGGGGAGATCGAACCGGCGACCTCTGGGTTGCAAGTCCAGCGTGGTGACCATTTACACCACCGTGGCAGCACCGCTGGTGGTTAGCAGTCTAGAGGGCCGGCACCCCCCCCCCCCCTCCACTTACGTTGGGTAGTGGTGGCAAGAAATGCCAAGCCTGCTTCTGGAATTGCTGGGTCGCAGGCGTGCTCACTGTGAACGTGGAGCCACGGAGCCCCGCACGGGGATATAAAACAACGCAAACACGCGCAAGGACAGCTACCGTAGCGTCGCGGGTAACACACGGGGGGCCGCCCATTGAATCTTCTCGCACGGCAGTAAAAACAATGCACGGGTCTTCAACGCGTCCCCCACCGCGTCTCTGGCCACCCAGTAATATGGGCCGTTATCACGCGAACTCCGGTGGTCATCCTCGTAAGCAGCGGCTCCTGGCTCAGCCATCGAACATCGTCGCCGTGGCGCTTTCAGATGCGCTTCTGCGGCCGTCTGAAACGTTCTTCCGTCCGATGTTAGGACGCCGCTGGGAGCTCTGCACTCTTTAATCATCTACATTGACAAAGTCATTTGTTGAGAACTGATTTTTTTGTGTTTAGTTTGTTGACCTTCAACCGCACCTACGATTATCACGGTTGGCTACGTACGGTGCGAAAGAAGTTCAACATACATAGGTACAATATCGACGGGCACAGCAGTGTTAACCGAACCGGCAGGTCGCGCTCGTTGCGGTAAAGCGTGCGTGCTTCCACCTCGTTCACGACGTCGTCAGCGTGGAAGCGCAGGCCAAAAAGCATTGCCTCGCCAGGGGCTATCCAGAGCTCCCTCTAGTGGAGCCCCCCTCCTTCAGGAGTGGTGTGAGCAGCATTTGCAGGGCTCCACCTTTACCTTTTCGTACACGCGGAATCGCTGAAAACGAATAAGCATTCTAGATTTGAAGTTTTCGTGACTGCAAGGATTCATACTCTTAGTTTTTTCGGTAAAGTCACGTAGGTAAAAAATGAAATTTAAATTAATAAAAATAAAATAATGAAATAACGAATAAGTAGTTGGACGGCTGTCATCCTACGCTTGGATGGCCTTCGTGGTGGAAATTCCACGTTCTGGTGACGGGGGCCAGTCTCACCACAGGACAACCACCATCGAATTCCAATTTTATTTGAGCTCTCCGACGTTTTCTTTCGGGTTGTGCCGTGCAAATATTGCGGCACGATGTCCGACGTTTCGCCCTACGCGGCAGGACCTTAATCAGGAGCATAAATCATAGAGGTATGCAGCCGCAAAAAAAAATCATAAACATACGCATTACACTCCCTGACCGGGCGTTTGAATTCGCAACTTCAGAACGATGAGTCAAGCGCTCCTGTCTGACTACCGCAAACTCCACATCCCGCCAACCTGTCCACTAGTAAAAACAAATACTAAGTAAGCAATTAGCCCACGTTGACAGATGGAAAAGGGACAGATAATGAAAGACTGGCGAAGAGACGCCTGCTGAAAGGGCGTCTGCGTCGAACGCCAAGAGGGGCGAGAAGCAGAGGTCAAATCCCATTCACTTCCCACTCGACCCGGGTGTGAGCATGCTGTGATCGCACTCGTCAAAAATGTGAGAACGAAGCATGAGCCAAGGGCTATAAACGCTCTTTAAAAAAAATCGGCAACGCTCAAAGATACAATTTGTGAGATTGCATTTTTCAGACATCGAGATGGTCTTTAAATTCGTAAAAAATTTACCCGTAAAAACAAAGTTTTTCACTATAAATCCTTTATATGCGTGGCGGCTAGAGTCCTCTCGTCCTCTGGCTTGAGATGGCTGCCACCTATGGGTCAGATGATTGGCTGCCAGCATTAAGCAATTGGTAATTAAATATTGATTTTTTTTTCCATAAACAGTGTAAAATTTTTGAACAAAAATTTTCACGAAAATTAATTGTCACGCACAACGAGTCTGTGTAGAAAATGTCAGCTCGATTGGATCACGGGAAGTGGGTTAAAAAACGACCGAAAAATTTGCATGGTCGTAAGCAAGCAAGCACGCAAGCAAGCAAGCAAGCGAACTTAATATACAGGGTTTTAAATAAGTATAACCCGTAAAAACAAAGTTTTTCACTCTAAATCCTTTATATGCGTGGCGTCGAGAGTCCTCTCGTCCTCTGGCTTGAGATGGCTGCCACCTATGGGTCAGATGATTGTCTGCCAGTATTAAGCAATTGGTAATTAAATATTTAATTTGTTTTCTTTAAACAATGTAAAATTTTGGAAAAAAAATTTCACGAACATTAATTGTCTCGCACAACGAGTCTGTGTGCAAAATGTCAGCTCGATTGGATCACGGGAAGTGGGTTAAAAAACGACCGAAAGATTTGCACGGTCGTAAGCAAGCAAGCACGCACGCACGCAAGCACGCAAGCAAGTATGCGAACTTAATATAAAGGATTTAAAAATACACATCGCTCACCCCATTTGTATGCCGTTACAGCCTTCAAAGATGCTGGCTCCACAGGACCTGCACTGAATGTGTTCGAATCTCACCAGGAAGTCGTTGCCTCTTGCATTGCCATCTCATCGCTGTAGCCACCCTCGATCTGTTTACATTTGCTGGCTGTCGCCTGATGAAGCTAGTTGTAATAACTGGCGAAACGTCGTACTCAGATTGTAAGTGTTGTGGCTTGGCTCTCCAACACACCGGTGTTGCTGTACTAGTGACGAATTGGCACGTTCTGTTTACGTGACAACCCTTACTAGTTGGCTGTGTCGGGTGGTGGCGGGTTTTAACGACACATTTATATATTTAAGCGATCTAATACAAAAAAAGCCTCTATTATGGATGATATTGGTCGCGAAAGCCTACGTGTTAAACTTACGTTTTCTTGTTAAATTAACTGTGATTGTACAATGGTCAATCCAAAAGTAATGTACTATTTAACACTGATTTAAGTTTGTGCAATATTTTCGATAACTCACGTGACATCGTTTGTTATTTTGCTGTTTTCTATTTTAATTGCTGTATTTTAATTGTTTTACCTCCGTCAGTTTGGGGACCTCGTTCGCTTTTGCCAAATGAAACGATATCGTGGCCTCTTGAGTTCTCGTCTGGCTAAACTAAAAATAAGTATACCCCGTAAAAACAAAGTTTTTCACTATAAATCCTTTATATGCGTGGCGGCGAGAGTCCTCTCGTCCTCTGGCTTGAGATGGCTGCCACCTATGGGTCAGATGATTGTCTGCCAGTATTAAGAAATTGGTAATTAAATATTTAATTTGTTTTCCCTAAACAGTGTAAAATTTTGGAAAAAAAATTTCACGAACATTAATTGTCTCGCACAACGAGTCTGTGTGCAAAATGTCAGCTCGATTGGATCACGGGAAGTGGGTTAAAAAACGACCGAAAGATTTGCACGGTCGTAAGCAAGCAAGCAAGCACGCAAGCACGCAAGCAAGCAAGCGAACTTAATATAAAGGATTTAATAAACCTGCAACTTTCCCCCGAGGCCCCCTTTTACATCCGCCCATTAAACCACGTGCCCACTCTGCGTGGCCGGGGCAGGTGTGTGCAATTTCTGGAGCGCGATCCATGACCGAAGCGGCGAGGCATTCCTCAATTATCGATAATTGCAAACGTGAGCACCACCACCAGCACCACAGCGCGTGTCTTTCTGACCGCCGCTCAACCGACCCTGACTGCGGAGGAGAAGGGGGCCCACCCACGCACCACCCACGCAAAGTGGAAGCAACCTTTGAATCAATAAATACGGCACGTGGAACAAAGCATTGTTGGGTTCCATACTCTTTGGTTCTTTCGGTAAAGTCACGTAGTTGGAAATAAAATCAAACGAATCACGGCGTTTTTGGGTTGTTTAATTTTTTTCTTTGAAAATGTTATACAAATTACGGTACAACTTGCTAAGGGGCAGGGGGGGAGGTATTGAGGTATCGGGGGATATGTGCCAAGGTCGGATATGTGCGCCATCATTCACAGGGCGGTTAATTGGTCATCGGGGGGCGGATATGCAACGTCGGATATGCGGCATTGCCCTGTGTAGTTTTAAGCACCGAGTTCAAAACCTGGGCAAAAATAAAATAGAAAGTCGAGGAGGTTGTGAG